AAGGCTGTCGACGATGCATATAGAAGTCTTATGGGTAAGAAGATCACCTTTACGTAGTGTAGTTATCACGTCCGAGTCTGGTCTGTATGGGTTAGTAAATTTGCAAGTGTTCATAAAATTGGCATCAAAGACGTAGTCTAATATGTGGCAAGGACGATTCTGAAAGCCAGTGATCTACGCTGCCGAGCTAATGATAAAGGCAGTCCCTAACGCCATCCATATGCCCTGCTCGCCAAAGGAGCCCAGTATCCATCACAGGACAATAACAACCATGCATATCCATCCGTCGGGGTATGAAGCTTCCCGCATCAGCTCCTCTAAGGGTGCATCAAACGGTATCCCAGCTCCGTGCATTACCACCTTCGCGAGAATAGGATCACGGCTGCTTGGGAACAGCCCTGGCAACATCTCTTTGAGAGCTTGGCCCAGGACCTTAGGTCGGCGGTCTGAACTTGTCGCAGGTACAAGAGATTGGATGACTTTGAAGGTGGCCTGCTCGGAAGACGCCGGTGACGATGAGTCCGAGGCAGCGGTGGGGATGTAGATGCGAATAGGGACATGTTTGAGTGCTGTTGGTGCATTGAGAAGATGGCTATTGATACGGTTGAAGGATGCTTGGTCATTGTCTATGACAGCGTTCCAAAGTTGGGTGGTGTTGTCTTTCGACATTTTCATGATTTGATTTGCGTTGCCATTGCGGATGAAGTCAGCCTAAGCGAGTCAGCTCTGCGTTGTTGTGAGATAAGCGATCCCAGATATCCGATGCGAATATACACGCCAACGCCAAGAACATCTAGCTGCAAGCTCTCATGTAGCATATAACACTCACCTCTTTCACGCAGTTGAGAAAAGTATCCGCGATATCCCAACCTACTCCATCATTCACGGTCAACCTCCACGGCAAACTAGGTTGATACAGGTCAACCAGCAATCCCACAGCCAGGTTCCTCAGCTGAACATCTTCAAAGTGGAAGCTGGAGCAGGGTGAGTTGAAGAAAGTCGATAGTCTCGGTATAAGAAGAGCCAGGTAGCTGAAGCGCGGAATACTAGTGATGAAAGGCGTTGTCGGTGAGGCGGGATGTGTTATGTGCAGCGGAATCCGGGCGTTCCATAAAGCTTGAGGGATGGGAGAGGACATTATGATGAGGGCATGATGAGGAGAGTGAGATGTTGTGATGCTTGATGAAAGTTGTCAGTTTGGTGAGTCAAATCATGATACCTGGCGAGTCTGCGATGTTCGGTTCCAAAGTCTAGGGTAGGACTTGTTCATGTGATTATTAAGCCAGCGACTTACATGAGGTTATGATACCTTTCAGTCACGTTGAAGTGTAAATAACATGCGAATAGGTGAAATTATGGCAAACGATCAATGGCGACATCGTTTTCAGATAGAAACGGTTTGCAAGTTCAGTAGTTTGTGTAACCTCAAGTTTGAAACCTTCGTGATTGTTCTAGCTAAAAATAATCTTTTATGAGTGGTACAACTAAGCGTATGATTGATAAATCGCAAATGGCTTCGTTGCCCAAGTTGAACATAGGAAAATCTACTACACAGTTTCGGTTCATGAGACATCCAGCTGTTCATTAAAGCGTGGGAGACAACAAGCACAACCCATGTCTCCCCTTTCAGTGTCGCTTTATTACACAGGTTGGTTATTAGCACCCTCATTTCATTGCAGGCGAGCAATACCCAATCATACGCGGAAACTCACAAGCCTCATATCCATCGTCACCTCATCACGAAAGACGAAGCATTCGACATGTCGGAGTACAGAAAACAGGCTTATTGTTCTGTTCAAACAGCGTCACATCATATACAGCTTGTACAGCCATGATAAGTCAAAGCGCTACCGATCAACAACAAACTTTTGATAGTCATGATCGTTTCGTCAGCCTAGAGGTTGCATGAGGCTGGAAAACGTCAAGGTTCTACTAAATTACCAAATTCTGGTTTATTCATGAGGTCGTCACGAAATAAGAGCCTTGGACGATGCAAGCGGCTCACGGGTAGCCTTCTTGGCATGATGCGTGGCACAATTGGCGGCATCTCGGCACCTGAAGCTATGATTTCTTCCAAGACTAAGAAGCTCAGTAATTGTCCAGTCGAAAAAAAAAAAAAAAAGCCTTGGCCTGCGACATCATTTTTGTTTCAGAACAGAGAAGGGGCCCTTGTCGGGCTGCGATACAAGGTGAGGACTGTCGAATGGCAGATGTTTACGCTCACCACACCTTAGCTGAGGCCTGGTCCGCATGACCTCATCTGGCAACTCGTTGTGCTGGTGACCTGTTATGAGCCACGGTAGACGTGTCAAAGGGCTTCAGGGCCAAGACAACGGTCTCAAACAGGCTTCATTGGATTTTTTTTGTTGAGGGAGGGCGTCATCGTCATGTGGCAGAGAGACCCGTGAGTTGTATTGCGAGATGTCTAGATAAATAACGAGCCTCGTCCTGAGGCTGTTGCTGTAAGGAGAAGGCAGACAGAACATCAGAAACCTCAACTTCAATCAGAGGATTACAACCCTACTACATCAACACTCTTCTGCACAATAGCTATGGCTCTCGATCGTGTCGTCAGCTTGATTCTGCGTGCTGCAGAGCTGGTATTTGCAGCCATCGTTGCAGGCGTCAACGGTGAATATCTGCATAATGCCCGCGGCGCAAGCTCATGGCAGCTCGGCCGATTCATCTACACTGAAGTCGTTGCCGCGCTGGGAATATTGTTCTCTCTACTGCTCCTCATTCCATTCTCGAGCACTTTTGTTCACTGGCCTCTGGACATCTTCATGTCCATCAACTGGTGGATCGTCTTTGGTCTCCTCGTCGATGTAAGTCACAGCCTTGTTTGACACTCTACTCTCGGTAGTTGTACATGCACTAACGGCACTCAAAGCTCATTGGAAACTCTTGCGGCCGTGTATTTGACTGGGACAATGTGCATCCCGTTCACGGAGATCAGTGTGGGAAGACCAAGGCCGTGATCGCCTTTAGCTTCCTCTCGGCACTTCTCTGGCTTGTTTCGGCTCTCGTAGGCTTCTTCTGGGTGCGCCGACGTGAGCGTACCGTTGCCCGTGCTGAGGCGGCTCACCATAACCGTCGCCGGGGCCCCTGGTTCCGCAGCCGTGTCTAAGAGCAGATGCTGAAGAACTTTTGGGAGGGTTACTAGTTACTACTGAGGGAAGAGGAAGATCTCAGTTGGCGATTTGTTGGTCTTGGCGACATGATTGGATTGCGTGGAACATTCCGAAATGCCGTGTCGGGTGGGAACTAATACGTGAGATGGGTGGAGGATTTCCTTGTTTTTTTGTTTGTTTTTGTTGTCGTTTGAGTTGAAACCTGGCGTTAGACAAGGCAAAGCAAGCAACGTGAAGCTGAGCGGGTTTGGATACCCTTTGATACGATTTGACGGTCACAACAAGTCCTTACTGTGCTTACCTAGTTACTGAAATTAATTAATGTATACATTGCTACTATTTTTGTCTCGTCTATCGATCAACGTGGGTACATTTAGTACTGTATGAGATTTGAAACTTGTAATAGTTGGATCCTCTTGATACATTTTGACGTCATATCTACGAATGCAAATAAAATTTCAAAATGAAACAATGGGGAACAGTGTCATGATCGGCAACTGAAAATGGAAATGGAATCTGATTTGAAGTCCCTGATGTCTATTATCCATATTGTACGCGCACCACAGTATACAGCACCCATACCATACAGTCCCGTAGGGGAAGTGAGCGGTCTGTGAAATGGGTGAGATTTGGTCACAAGCCTCTTCTTACCCGTTTGATCTTCCTCTGACCTGATTATCATGCAGGAGATGTGCCTAACCGCGTCAACTTTCCGTCTTGTTCCCATGATCATCGAGATCTACGACCAGTATAACCTCAGTCCCGTCCTCCGGCACAGGGGCAGAGTACGAGGTTGACTGCAAGCCTGAACACTCCTATCGGGAAACTGGCGAACAGGAACAAAAGCCACCATGGCATGCATTTGCATAGCAGAGCTTTCCTAGTCTGCGCAACTCAGGGCTGGATATTCCCGTCACTGTGGGACCTCGTGATCCTGGTTTTAGCCGTGTTACAGAGGTTCTAGAACGGCCATGGCCAGAAGAGAGCTCTTGGCCCAACGGATTCAAGGCCTGGAGAGGCATCAATGTTGTCATAAGTCGATTTCTTTGTTTTGTTGGACCGGAAAAACGGCCGTTCTCTTGGCGTCATTTGCTTGCCTTGGTGGCTAGTGGACCTGCTGCCAACTTTGAGCCTGTGAGCGCGGGGTAGCTGGGGGTGGCCTGTCTGGACAAAAACATAGAGCTCGCTTCCACTGTAATTTGCGCTAAGAATGCCGCTAGATTTCGCCGTTTTCTGTCACCTTCCAGGGTAGCTGACGCCACGCATCACAACCATGATACACGCCACAGGTTCTAGCTTTGCATCATCTTCTTGTAGATCTCACCTTCAAGCCACGGAGCCTCTTCGTCATTCCCTTTCACATCCCGTCTCCTGCTCCACAACATTAGCTTGGCGCATTGGAAGAGCAAGAAATCCGATGTTCGATGCTTGTTACGTTTGTTACTTTCTCCCTTTGACGCTTCTGCCCTACGAGTCGTCAACGTCATATCTCGCGTGGCATGACGCTAGATTGTCCCTGCAACAAGCCTTCACCAATCGTCGCCAAGCTCAGGACTAGACTTCTCCAAAGATCGGGGTAAATGCTATGACGTAAAATGAGGTCGGCGGAGGGGTGAGGGGTGAGAATCGAAAGTGTTTGGGCCTGCCAGGTTTGCTGAGGATGGCATCGAGATTGAGGCTCCCGGGATGACAATCTTCAACTATATAAGATTCACGATATCTCTCCTCGGAACTACCCTTTCCTTCCATCATCAAACTACAACAGCATTCAAAGATACCCAAAGCATCTTCACTTTAACTCAACTCCCATACACCATCTTCAAGATACCCAAACACTTCAGAACAACAACAACTTAAACTACATCCATCATGTCTGGTCTCATCAACAAGGTTAAGGACGCTATCCATTCCGACAAGGACAAGACCCACGAGCAGCCTGAAGGCACGCATGGCGGCCATTCGTCTCGTGTTGCCAATGCCGCTGATCCTCGATATGATTCGGATAGAGACCATCGGGCGAACCCTGGTACTACCACTACAACTGGTGGCCTGGGATCTTCCACCCACAACACTGGCACAACTGGTGGCTTGACCGGAGGCTCTACCTACTCCGAGAACATGCCTGGTCACACTACTACCGGACGCACTGAGAACCTGCCTGGCCATACCACTGCTGGCGGCCTTGGCTCTCATTCTTCAGGACTTCCTGAGGGAACCGCGGGGCCCCACGGAAGCCGCCTTGCCAATGCGGCAGACCCAAAGGTGGACAGTGATCTTGACGGTTCCCGACGTGTTGGTGGCTCAAACACTCATGGAACTGCTCAGACTGGTCTCGGAGGCAGCACTGGCACTTATGGCCAGACTACTACTGGCACTTCAGGCTTCTCAAGCCATGGTGCTGGTGCTCACGGCCCTACTGGCACCCACACCTCGGGCTTGGGCGGAACTGGCTCGACCGGTACCTATGGTTCTACCGGTACCGGTACCGGTTCTGGTCTCGGCGGTGCTGGCTCCGGTTACGGCACCGGCCCCGGTCCTGCTCCAAAAACCGCGGGGCCCCATTCCAGCGACGTGGCCAACAAATTGGATCCACGTGTAGACAGTGATCTTGACGGTAGCAAGACAGTCGGTCAGGAGAAGACTTTCCAGCAGTCGTAAGTCTTCCCAGCGGCCTGCCCCGGTATCTCGTGTAACGACATTTTTTGACGCCAATTTTCTGCAACAGCAACAACAACTTCGCCGGCCGGGATCCCACCGATGCCACTCAGGTTCCTCCTTCTGTTTTGCAGAAGCATGTTCCCACTGAGATCGCTCATGATGACCCCCATAGCGACCACAGCCGACGACACAGCAGCACTCACCAGGAGACTCACCGGGGCCTGTAAAGGGGAATTGAGGGCTTGATGATGATTTATGGATATGTAAAGCAGCATTTCTTTAATGAATATTAATGAATTATCTCCCATAACAGATTATCCCCGAGCATTTTGCACTAATTTGGGTGATGTACTTGGATTAGAACGTGATCATGATTATGGACTGATTTGTTGGGAATCACCTCTTTCATATATGCAGTCAAAGCACTTGAGGTGAAAGAAAGAATCCTCTATGGCTTGGAATCTATCAGTGAAATTGTTAAACCTGACTACACATTGATTTAAATTTATTCACCCAGGGAAGCAAGCCTTCCCTGATTTCCATTTCTTGGTTCTAAACTGTTAATTGATAAAAACAATCTTCTCTCTAGCGTTTGCTTCCTCCCAGACGCTGGGACTGTTCATGTGATTTCCCAGTGATATCTCAAAGTCCGACTGCTAAAGATCCATTTGAACAGACGTCCAGATTCTTATCGAGAGGCTCTCATACCTGTATAGATGACATCTGAAATCACGATAGCTGCAACTAGCGCACCAATTAGATTTGTTTTGCATCCCATGACTCTGGTGCCATGCGATGCCTGGATTATGGTTGTGACTGCGATGGAGAAGGATCGTTGAGTATAAATAGGTCAGGAAGACGGAGTGATTCCACAAGATGGCATCTATAAGTGTACACACCCTCTGGAAGGCTAGTCCAAGTTGATGAACCCCTTAAACAGCTTAATGAGCTTTGCTGGCTATAGAATTCAACAGTTTTGAGTCATACTGAGCATTGAAGCCCGAGTCACTTAATGGAGCAACATTCTTGCTATCAAAGTTGTTCGCATATCCCAAAGACATTGTCATTCCCCGTACTCTAATCAATTCAGCTTCTTAAGCATTTCAAGCCTCTATGCCTCCAAATACAACTTATCGTCGCCCATAAAGCATCCTTAATATCCTTGAATGAAGTACCAAATTCGATACCCTGGTGTTTGACATGGGTCACAGCAAATGCATCAGGGTCTTTCTTCTCATTCTCGGCGGAGATGACACCTGACCAAGTTTTCTTGTTGGCTTGTGTGATGCTGTGGGCAAACTCGGAGAGAGATGCAGAGACACGTTCGGGGTGAGTGTCTTCGGACTGGCGAGATCTGAAGCCATTGAGATGACGAGCCATTTTCCAGTTGACACTGGGGGCGAGAGTGTGACCCTGTGTATGAGTACTGTTTGAGATTGGCGAGGATTTCAGGCCAGGAACGATCAAATGTTTGTTCCTGGAAGAACCAGGCTTCGACAAATGCATTACCTTTTTTCTTGAGCTGGCTAGTTACAGCAGAAGCGATGTCCTGCATGGTGGAAGGGTGCAGTTTGTAATTGCGCTTGAACTCCAAGTTGTGAATGACAAAGGCCTCGGACCAGTCAATGTCGATGCGAAGGAGCCGCACTCTCTTAGCCACTCTATGAATCTGATTGACGGGGATTGACAGGTCAGCATTCTTCAGCTTTTCGCCAAGAATGTCGGAGCCTTTGGAGTAATTTGTGAGCTCTGAAATGCCCATAGCCTTGAACGCATGGAGGATGGCGAGAGACTTGATCTCATCTACAGCTATGCTGTTGAGGGAAACTCCATCCATGACAGCGTGGAAAGGAACAAGTAGGTCCATGAAAGGCTCAGGTCGACCGCCATTTCGAATGGAAAGCTTGAAGTGCATCCGAGGCTTGAGGATTTTTCCGACCGTCATCTCGGCACGCACAATAAGGCCGGCGCATGGCCCGGCGCCAAGACGTGCAACAGTACCAGCGTGGAAGCCGGGAAGAAGCTGGCCATCGATACTCAGAGAAGATGAAACCAGCCAGTGGAGTGAGCCTCCATGTGGAAGGTGTGTTCCAATAAACTGTTGTCTACAGTTAACTAACCGACATCGAGTCCATGCAGGGCAGCTTTGGGACGTTGCTCCTCTACGTCTTGGATAACCTGCAGAATCTTGCTTTCAATCTCTGGGGCGGTCATCACGACGTCTTGTTGAGACCTGCAGAGCTCGAGGCTCGGCTGATGACAGTCATCTATGAGATCAGCTCTCATGATTGCAGCGAGATGCGCATCTCTGATAGCCGGGTCCTCAGGAGGATCGAGAGGGCCAGGATCAAGAAGACGAGGAGGGAGTGGAAGAGTGTAGTGACACTTTGGCAAAATCGCGAAAGAATCACGAAGCGTCAAAGAGGGTAGAGATAAGAAGTTGTGAACAAGACAGCTCTAAGAGGTGTAAGAAGAGAAATGACTTGAGTGATGCACAGGGAGAGAACTTGCGATGTGAAGTTGGAGTGCAAAAGCAAGTGGAGGTGATGCGCGGGTGAGGAGAGAAGAGAATGCAAGAGGAACACGGTTTTGAGCAACGCGATGCTCAGACAACGATGAATAAAAAGTGGAGAGTAAACAATAGTAAGAGGAGAGGAGAATCGTTAGAAGGTGAGAGAATGTTAAAGGGTTCGATGGTTGGCACTGTCGGCAGTTGTTGGCAGTTGTGAAGAAATAAATTCGGCCGTCAACCCGTGAAGGCCCCCCCCCCCCCCCCAAGAGAGGAGGGTGCAACTGACAACCGGCGAGGGATCTCTCATACATTATGCAAAAATGTATGCCCCTTCCCATTAGAAGCTTTATCCTAATAGGGCATCCCCAAGCGTTTTGGGCATGCCTGGGGTGCTGTGTTGCTTTGGTGAAGCCATTCAAACATTGTGTCTGTCCTTCGTCCAGTCTCAGCATCTCATGTATTGCATGCGGGCAACAGGAGCAAAGTGTTGAAAAGAAATGACCGGGTGCAAGCTTGGTTCATATGCCACAGCTGCTCAGCTTGTTCAGTCAGACAAAAGCACTTCAAGATGAGAGAAAGCAATATCGCTGTAAAGTACTTACCGGAGTTTCTTCCAAAATTGACAAAGAAAAAAACATTTGACTTTGTCATCGGCAGGATCAGATGTGTGAGACTCGACATCGGTCGGAGCTTCAGACTTGTCTGTTCAACTGGCGGTGCATGCTTTGGCAAGCAAGAGGTTGTCGGATAAGCGAGAGGCTGTTGAACAAGCAAGCGACCTCATGTGCTTGGCGAAGTCGACAATGGCCACTGTCGCGAAAACCCAACCAAATGAGTCTTCCCCGTTCGTATCAAAACTCCAGAGAAGTTGTTGAGTGGTTCAAGGAACAGGCTTAAGCTTCGCTCGCCAATCATGATGCAACTGCAGCTTTGCGAGCTGGGCAGCGTCCGCATCCTGTGCAAGCGTAACACTCATGAGGTCACCTGGCTTAAGGATTGACGTGAAGTAGGGATAGAGGCCATCACTTCTAAGGAGCCAGCCTTGGCGAATTCGATTAGCCTTTGTCGGCCTATGGCAATGATCATAGTGCGGTTGTAGGTTTTCATGCTGTTTTCCCAGTATGAATCGAAGGCCGCTTTAGCTTTGTATTCGGCAAGACACTGGTCATAGCCAAGCTTAAATTCGACCGTATTGGTATTCCCCACTGTGTCTGTGATATCCTTCCAGACAAATTTACAGCCAAGCTTAATATCAGGAATGACAGTCAGGTATACAGTTTCGCCTTTCCGGTGCGCCATTTGTCGAACGGCCAGTTCCTGCCCTCTCTTTCTTTTCCTACTGTGAGTATCAGAAGAACGAATACTCAGGTGGTAGATTGCTGGACTACAACAGGGGAAAACTCACAGCTGTCCTCCCTTGCGCGGTGTCTCGTGAAATGTGGTGGATTCCTCCGGCATCTTCGTGAATGCCTTCTTCACGGACAGGTTGCGCGTTCGCTGCTTCCTAACTTCGGTGTTCGGCATTAGTGAAGTAGATGGCAGCTTTGTCTGGATGAGCAGGTCGGTCATCAGGGTTGATCGTGACCACGTTCCCGAAAGTAAGGTCCGCGTATTATCGCGTATGCCCATGAGGGAGTCCGGAAATAGGCATACCTTGGGGTGTGTTCGGTGAAGCACAGTCATCTTGTCACCATAGAACATGGTTTGGGCTCAGGAAACGGCGTGGACGCGTGCACCATAGTTGCGGCGGAGGCGCGCTAGGATTCGGCCAGCATCTTCCATGCGATGGAAAAGGCTGATCTGCCTCTGGTAAGAGAAGACGGCCTTGAAATCTCGCTGTCCAACAGTCAATCCGATAGGTGGAAACTGCTGGGTGCTCCTGATGTAGATAGAGAATGCAGACTGCCATTGAGCCTGAAGGGCGAGCGAGAGGTTCTCGGTGAGCCGGGCAGCTTCATCCACGACAATCAGACATTGGGCAAGTCAGTGTTCCTGGCGATGTCGACCAGGGCCACTGGAGTCCCGATGACAATATCAACTAGTAACACTGCCTGACTGCCTACTCCATCAAATTGCGGAACTCCGCCTCTCCATTACTCGCGTTGCAAGTACTTGTGGACTTCTTGCCGCCGGCAGCCCTTTATCAGATTTGCCTTCATGAGAGCTTCTAGCTTAAGCATATGTTTCCTGCCGATCTTAACTCGTGTGTCGGCACTTCTCCTCGATCCAAGCTTGGCGAATTGGCCGAGTTGTTCCGAGCAACTGCAGTAATGCACTCTTCGTTGTCCTTGTACGCCCTCGACCGTGTGTACTCATAATAAAGTTCAGCATAAGTTATCATTAAACTCATCATTAGGCTCATTATAAAGCTCATCCGTCTCGAATCGAGCCCTCAAAGTGGTGTACCCATTTATGTCTTCTGTGCCGAGTAGGGATGCAGGATGATATCATACCATGCCTTTCCTTCCTCTGCTCTGAGGGAGATGTCTTTGGGTATTTGTCGACCACTTCAGCAGATGGTGAGCTGAGCAGCTGACTGACCAAGTGTCGATAATTGCTCTGCCGAAAAGCACTGGCAATAATGATAGGAACGGAGCCCCTTCGTAAGGGGATTGACCTGTCGGTAAAGCGGAATGGTCATGGGCCAGATGAGGTGAACTTGGTTTCCAGGTCCGATGAAGACAGTACCAATGTGAGCGCGGGAGCCTGCTACAGTCATCCGCCCAGACTCGCTGATAAAACCAGTCTTGGTGGTTCGAGTGAGGTCAACAAAGACGTAGTCAGCCTCATGACTGAGCGAATCATCAATCGTACGAATGCCGACGAGAGACTTAGGTACTTCAGCGGGTGTGAGCTGGTAGATGTTCATGCCAGCTGTCTCATCAAGCCCATCAAGCTTCCTGGCCCATAGTGCCCTCCAACTACTGAGCTTTGTTGTCATCACCCTTCAAGCGCTGCGTCGATGGGTCCCTGAGTGGCCAAGCGTATATTCTTCGTCTTCTGTTCCACAAGACGAAGACTCCGAGTAACTGCCCTGACGATCTTTGCGATCCATTTGGCACTCGGGGCAATTTGCCACGTACTGATACCTCCGTTATTTTAGTCGCAACACACACACAGGACTGAACCAGTCTCGTAGTTAAGCGACATGCCAAGGGAGACCTTCTCGCCTCTTTTACATCAACACTTCAATTCAAGATTGCCAGATCATTGCTTTGGATCTACAGGAGGATAATCGCTATTAAGCATGCCAACTTCGATATAAGGGTGCTTCTGCAAGCAGGCAGGAGGTGCTAGGTTAGGAGGAGTATCAAAGTCAGTATTGCAATCAACGAAAAGCGAGTTGAAGAAATCCTGCCAATCACCCACAGACAGTTCATAAGGCAGATCTGCCATATCTCAAAGCAGTTAGAAGGTCATAAAGAGTCTGAGGTTCTCATCGGATGTCAAGTGCATATGCCTCTTGGCTTGTTGACCAGCAGGCCGACTGGCAGCCACATGTACATCTCTCAAAACACAATCTTGGGTAAGCCCCGGCTCCGTGTACCCTGGGAGGTCATGATGGCGATTGCCAGGAGGAGAGTCGTGGCCGGGAATAGCGCCATTGCCAAGGGGAGCATTGCCAACAGCATTTTGGCCAGCAGGAGCACCATTGTCCGGAACATTGCGTGGGGAGGGGGGGTTATGAGGACGTTGATCGCCATAGTAACCACCACGGTACCGTTGAGGAGAGCGACTACGATGCTGCATCCCACGATAGTCTCCGGGAAATCGTCCACGAGGATAGTGGTCGTGGTGACGCTGCTCGTCATAGTAATAACCAAGGTACTGGTCACGAGCATGGCGATCGAGAGGATGCGGCTCGTTGTAGTAACCGCCATGGTGCTGGTGAAGAGGATAGCGATCAAGAGGTTGTCCTTGACATCCAATAGTTGTGGTGACCGAGCTCTTGATAAGGTCCAGCAAGCTGTCGATGAGGTGGAGCGGGCTGTTCATGAGCTGCAGCGTCCTAGGCTACGAAAGCTTCATTTGCAGGGCCATGATTCTTCATGTTAGGCGACTGAGAACGACCGTGAGGTCGAGGAAGTAAATCGTCGTCGCTGCTGCTTGTGTCTGCGTCAATGAACACAGGATCCAAGGCCGACATGGATTAGAAAGGAAATTGCAAGGAAATTTCCAAGAATGAGCAGAAACGGTTAAAGAGTTTGGGATGAATATCAACGGGTAGGTGATGTTGGCACTCGCGGGTGATGAGATTGCGAAGGGGAGAGAGGGGAAAGGATGAGATAGCGCCTTTGGGTTTTGCTTCCCGTAAATATTCTTCAGGTTCTGCTTCTTGTTGTTCGCAGGGTTAACGTTTGTGCTGTTCGGTGACAACGCGCCGCTGACAGTTGTAGGTGTCAGTAGGTGTCAATGCCCAAGATGATGCAATGGCTGGCAGCTGTGGCTCCAGAGCCAGGGCCACAGAAGCTCTGGTAACTCTTTGCGATATTGGAATACGAGAGAGTCGGCTTGTACCAGGCGATATGCCGAGAGTTATCGCTGTCGATCAGGAGAAGAGTGGTATGGCCAAAGCCATTGAGGACACGATCGTGATAGCGGTACTCATGTAGAGAGCAAGAATTACAAAACAGGACATACACTTTGATACCAGCACAAAGTGTATTCCGCATTTCAAAGCGCGTGGCTGAACCGACCCCCATTCTGATCTGTTCCGATTGCTTCCTCAAGAGAATGTGGCCGTATCGCCGAGCAGGACGAGGCTCCTTCATTGGCTAGGGTTCTCCCTCATGATACTGATTTTGGACCAAAAGTCGTGTCGTTATCTTTGTAGAGATGGGTGCAATTTCTGGAATCGCAGTCATGCTATGATCAAAGGCTCGTATCTCAGGCGGTTGAACAGGCGAAGCATCTTCAGGCAGCCTAGGTAGTCATGAATCATGCAAGAGTCGTGTTGTATGTGTCTCGATGAGGGTGGAAACGTGGTTAGTAGATGTTGACTTCCTTACCTTATATCGGGCCACCGTTGTTAACCAGCTTAAGGATTAGGTCACTGGTGAGTAGACTAGGCCCAAAGAGAGGGAACTTCTTATGACAGCACTGGGAGTGATGAGAGACTCCTTTCAGGTGGCAGTGTTGGCAGCTGTCAGCTTTATTGCTCATCTGAAAAGCCCCGTGGAATTTCAAGGGGGGTTATGCCAGGACCTACGATATCGCTCTGTAGCAGTACCTAGCTAAGCTCATTTGTGCATCTTGTTTGCTGGTGCTTGCCGGCTTCACTTCTATTGTGACTCATGAAAACCTCAGCAAACACTTTCACTCCAACAAACATAGCTTAGGCAACCACATCCTAGATTCTTCATAAGGCTTTACAAATTCTGACTGCTTTACCTAAACTCTTCATAAGACTTTTACGAACGTTTGACTTCTTTACCTAAACTCGCCCCCCTCCAGGTAACGTCTGATGTAAGCTACTTCATATCGTCAGCGCTGGTACAGGGCTTTATTTGTTTCTAACCGGTGTCCACACAGATAATCTCGCCTCAATACCCTGACGACCATTGAAAGTACCAGTTTGAGGTGTTATAGGAGAGACGTCAGCAAGCACAAGCCTCCATGCAAACACAAAGTTACGCAAGGAGGAAACATTCTGGGTATATAATCCAAGGCTCCCGCCACCATCTGACTTTCACCTTAGCAACTTTCGGGCATATTATACATATACACTATGCATCTTGCTTGTCGATGTTCTCGAACAAGTCGCTTATACTTATACTTTATCGCACGCAGCTCAGGCTCTGGCAAGATCAATACAAGAAGACACTGATACTGTCACCGCCAACCGTATCAAACACCAGAACGAGTTCACAGCATCACTAGTTGACATTGCCGACTCGCCCAACCACCTGAGAACCTCTCGCTTGTCCTACGGGCTTAACGGCGGCCTAGACTCTCCATCTCCATCAGAGATACCCAGCAGTTTCTTCCCATCGGATCGACTATTGGCCAACGGGACTTCAAGGCCGTGTTCTCAACTTGCACTCGTGGCCTTAAGACACTCCTGTGTCTGCCTCCGGTACGTCTCGAACCAAATCAAGCCCGGATCCTCCACTTGTGTCTAACGTAAACTATCTAGGAATCTCTTGACAGTTATGGACGACTACCCTACCTTGACGGCGACAGAAGATACGATGTTCACTGATCTATTCCTGGCCTTCCATCCGGATTCGTGGAACGCCACCCTTAAGTTGAAAAGAGAGTTGTTGGGGGGATTTTCCGACATAAGGATATCTCGAACATGAACCCCATCTTCCCCCCTGCGCGGCCCTCATCTCCGTCGATCAAGACGAGTGGAGCCCCGGCCGGATTCTGGACCGAGGATTTGTGCTCGGATAAGCTACACTCAAAGTCTCCGATAGAATCCGAGAAAAAGAAAGGATCGTGAGTGTCGCCCCTGAAGTCTGGTAGTCTGCCACTTGGCCAGACCTCAATGTCTAACGCTCGGTAGAAAATCCAAGGCTAAGGAGAAGAGAGCCAAACTGTGCGCCGAGACCTCATCAAGCCGAGACAAAGCTTGCAAGAAAGGACAGCCTGTATACATCACTGTCACTGTTATCAAGAAATCTGCCCTGCGCTTCACCTGGAAAGACGAGGCTGGAACACTCGGGGAGCACTGACAAGGTCAAATTCATGCCTGGTTGGAACGCGGACAGAGCCGAATTTGAAGCCAAGTTGGCCTATGATGTATACTGGGGCGAGGCGACGAGAGAATTCAACCGCCGACTGGTCGTATACACAGGCCGTCTCAGACTACGGGCATCCGCTGAGGCTATGGCATCTGACTTAGCTTTTGTGCCTAGCAGCGAGCTTTCCCTCCAAAGTCTCATGGAAAACCCCGTTGACTCGGGAGATAGACGAGGCCACAGTGGCACAGATTCGTCTGCACCAGCAAATGTTGGTTCAGAGAATGGCCGGTTCTCGAGCAGAGCAATTGCACCCTCCTTGGGTTTTTAAGACTGGCGGATGCTGGGTTTCAGACGTCTGGGAAACGTGAATATGGGTTGGTCGTTATTGGGAAACTTACCCATAGATGATGTTTGGGATGGTGCCTGATGTCGGAGCGCCTGTTACCTTGTTCCTGAACGCCGACTATCGCGAGCGTGTTCCCCCAAAGGATACTCTCACCATCAAGCAGATCACACGTATAACTCGTGGTATCGCCTTCGGTTTCCGTCATAGTAAGCAAAAAACTTCCAATTGTCGCATCTCTATTGGGCAAGAGATTGAAGCAGACCGCAAGCGGAAGACCAAAGACGAAGACAAGATTGCCTCCCTCCAAGCATCCATCACTGAGAAGTGCGATCGTACATTTTTCAAGCATGCCGCTGAGCCGGTGTACCGTCTCATCAAGACTCCATCGGCTGCTGCGCCGGCTGCTGCTGTTGAGTTTCATGGCAAGTCCCCATCTGTTCAGCAACCACCAAGAGAAAGAGGCGAGAGTTAAAAGCCCGAAGAACTTTTAAGGTATGATAGAGAGGACTGGAAGGTGTAACAGAAGGAAAACAGAAGAAAAAACACGCCGCCACTGCTAAGGCCATTATCCGTGAGCTTCGCCGTCGAGCCGATGAAGATGATCATGACTTCGCCGCAACTATCGCGCACGCGCCCACGCCATTTCCTGGGCCCAAACCATGTTCTATGGTGACAATATGACTGTAGTTCACCGAACACACTCTGAAGCCAGCAGGAACTTCCATGGCTGGGTGAAGAAGAACTTTGCGCGCTGGAGCTGCCTCTCGACGACATTGTTGATCCGACCAGACAATGCTCAAGAGACTAAGATCGACAACAGCTTCTCAAACCCCGCCAATGCCAACTTCGCGGTGCAGCTCGTTGTCCAACTCTATCGAGCTGCAGGTATCATCGATGCTCGTGATTTCTCCAGGCGTGCATCAGTTCTCATGCTCACTCCATATAGGGCTCAGAGACGAATCTATGATCTCCTGCTGTTAGAGTTGACGGCTACCGAAGTCCCTAAGATACTGGTTGAAGTCTGAACTATCGATGACTTACCTATTTATAAAGCGGATATTATCGTCCTCGACTAGGTCTACACCATAAAGAAGGGTTTTATCGCTGAATCTCACCATGGCCGTCGCTCTTTCTCGTGCTCGGATTAGTACCATCATGATTAGTCCTGGCAAGAAAACCCCCCTCGTGTAGCCGCTTAACCACCTCGTTAGTTATGTCGAGGAACGTAAGGCAGTCATTGAGCTTAAGGATCATTGCCGCTGGTACATTATATGCCATAACTGCTGTCAGCCTGGTCACCTTGACACTGGCTGAAAGTTTCAGCCCAAGTGTGTCCAGTGTGATGGAACGTCTTACTTGACCCGCAACTGCCCTCGCGCGGAGGAAGACGAGATCTGAACATCTGCGTCTGGCCCAGTCACCGCAAACGATGGCATCGAGCGAGACGTCCTGGACTCTCCTGATTTTAACTTCTCTGACTCCAAGCGGGTCAAGAAGAACAAAAGCAGTCGCCAGGATACTTTTGCCAAGCCTAATATACAGAAGGATGTCATGCGCCAGCACTTCCGTGATGATATGCGAGAGCTTCGGGCCACTACCAAGAAGGGGAAAGATGCCGAGGGGGGTATCGATGGTGATCAGAAAAGATCTCAGGATGAAGTTGATGATGACAGGGACACCAACGAGGGTGAATGGTAGGAGGCAGATAATGGCATGGAATGATATGATATGTACGAGTTTCTACAAACGGTGAAAAGGCAAAGCAAGGGATGAAGGACGAGTGGACATGTTCCAGGAATTTTGAACTCAGACTGGTGACGAAAAGGACTGACAAGGAGAATATGATATACCCGGTGGTTTGAGAATGGATTTTCCCCCACCTCTGAAGAGGTGATAATAATTATAAGTAAAGATGTAGTTACGGGTTATGTTGCCACCTCTGAAGAGATGGGAGCAAAACTACGTTTATCAACCCACCGGGTTTCTGCTGTATTCTATTTATGTTTCATCATAAGCTCCTCTAAAAACCATAAACTTGTAATAGTCTTAGGATATTCTTAGGGTCACCTTAGGACAACTTTATCATAATTTTTTATTTTATTTTATTACTCCACCCTCTGAACTGAAATGCCGATGGCAAAAGGTAAAGGCTCGGTAGCACATTGAAGATACAACCTTATCGGAGCACTTCTGAGCTGCGTGACGAGCCGCATCGTCAACAAGCTTGTTCTGACCGGCAGTCCAGGCAACTCTGGCCTTTCCCGAGCTCTGGTTGGGAGAAGCACCTGTGTCCTTGGCAGATTTGAAACCTACTGGTTCCTTGTATTCACCAGGCTTGGGCTCTTCGTACTTTGCGACCGGATCAGGTGCTTCTTCATCCACGTCAAGGGCGGGGACGCTGACAATGCCTTGAACATGAGCGACGCTGTCTAGAACTTTCTGAGAGTAATCAAGCTCGGTGGCAGGGGCAGTTGGGGTGATCAGCTTCACGCCGGAGTAGTGGTTGTAGTTAGTACCGGACAACTCTATAGCGTTGTCGTTATGGATTCAAATAGTGGTGCGATCTTCGCTGGGAAAGAGCACCTGTGCTGAAGGTTGGTCTCCATCAACGATGACATCAAGTTGGAGATTGATGTCACGTTCATCACCCCAACGTTGGAGCACTGCAGCGACTTGGTCGACAGTCAAGTTCGACGTACCGAGGCCACCATATTGTGCCATTCTCTTGGTCATTTCTGGACCGCGAAGGATAGATCGCAGTTGATCAACTGACTCTGGTGCATGTTCTGTCAACTGGTAGAACAGACTGTTGATAATGGCAAAGAGTCCACACTCGAGGTCACCACTTTCAGTAGGTATGACTTCGTATTGAGGGATTGCTGGGGCATTGACCTTTTCATCGGCAGCAGGTTCAGAAGTGTGAGACTCGTCACCGGCGGGAGCTGGTGCCGCGCCCCAGGCATCAACGGCTGGAGTTTGCGATGTGTTGTCGCCAGGAGCCTGAGACGTCTTCCACTTCTTAGCGTCAGGGTCGGAGACATCGATGGTCTCAACAAGGCCAGAAAGAACGGCTTCGACAATTTTGAGCACAGTAGTGGTCTTTCCGGAACCAGGACCGCCAGTGCAAAACGCGTGGCCAGCTGGAACATCTTGAAGGGTTTCGACGAGACGTGCAACTTCACCATCGAACTTGTCTTCCTTGTATGCACGGGCAAGACCAGGGAACTTCTCATGGAAGTTTACCTTGACAGGCTCCTTCTGGAAGTTGTGGCTATAGTTCCAGAAACGAGCTGCCAAAGTCAAGTTGAAGGCATAAGCACCGGAGTTCATCAATATGACAGTGTCGCATTCAATCATGACGGTTGATGCATCTGGCATATTGTACATGTTGATTTCTACACCCTTGTAGCCTGTGATGGCGATCTTTCTACAAACGTACTCCTTCCGCTGCTTGTCATAATAGCCAGGATCGAATAGGCTGTTCAGGGAACTTCGCAGGCTTCCGACAGGAAGTACGGTGTCGATCTTAAAGTCGAAACAAGGCTTGACAAGACCCGGAGGCCAGTTTGTCTGCCGAGCGGTGGTCACATAGTGCAAAGCAATGTTTGACTCGGTGCCAGGGGGGTTGGGGACGCAGACTCCACGGTGCTCAGGGCTTCTGTCTGTAGCGCCAACTGTCATCGTGGTCTTCGTAATCTCGGAGATTCAAGTGCTGATTCGGTTGAACCATAAATGGTCTTCTTCATCGGAGCGACGACGAAGCTCGCGAACAACAGCCTTGGCAGTGGCCCCTCCTGAACAGATGGGGGCTTGCCTGGAAACTCAGCAGCAGCAGAAGCAGCCGAGGGAGTTGTAGCGAGATGATAGATAGGTTTCGCAGCATGGTTAATAAATGAGCAGCCGCATTACTCATCGATAGATACTTCGAGGTCAGCAGTCTTATCATTATCTTCCCTCTTGCAAGCGCCTTTGGTCTCTTTCTCAATAGAGATGCGACGATTGTATGCTTTCTCCTCACCGAGACGGAAGGCAAAGGCGATATTATAAGCCATTTATATGATCTGCTTGGCAATAAGAGCAAACTTTAGAGGAATATGCTTGCGATAGTTGGCATTCAGGAAGAAGGTAACAGGTGCTCCGGTATTGGGCACCATTGAAGCGACATCAGGATCCAGGTAATGGGTAATCTAGTGAGCGGTTTTGGTACCGTCGGCATTGACACCATAGACATCCACGTCATAGCCATCTGGCTCCCAAGAGGAGAAAATAACTGGCTAGACGAAAGTTTGGAGAGGGATGTCAGGGAGTCTGAGTGCACAGCCATCCTGCATCTGTTGCTCTCCGGCAGCACTAGCTAGCAAGGCGACAGTGCGGTGTTCAGCACTCATGAGGTAGGTAGTAGCCTTGTTGGGACGATCGTGTCGGTCATCAGAATCGATGGGACCCAAGTTATTGAAAGTCAGGTCGGCGAACTGTGACGCACCTCCACAAGGTATTCCGCATATGGTTTCATGAACTAGCTGGTTCTGCGTCGACTACGTTGAAGATTGCCGAGCCCTCATTTCCATAGCAGGACATGAGCAAATACATCCCGATGGAGGTTGAGTTGTTTTCAAAAGTACAGCCTGTGAGAGTGAAGGCACCTCTACTTTGCAAGGTCGGGTAAATCGATTGAGAGTTTTCGGAGTGCATTTTTCGTGCCATTCAGTAAAGACATGAACACCTATGAAGCATCAGTATGACAGTCCCGGTTACAATACGGTGAATTCACCTTCTAGCTTCTCCATGCGGCGGAAATGATCAGAGCAGTATGTTTTCCGCTGGTGATAACTTTTCGTATCAAATGCTGTAGACGAATAGCCTGCTGGGGACTCCCGTCCCTGCCATCACCGCATAGCATGACATGCACTGCATGGCTAGACATACATTGCATACCTTCCCCGCTCGCGAAGGAATCAAACTCAGTTGTATAGAAATTGAGACCTGATTTGTCAAGATGCTGATCAGAATTCGGCGAGTTAGCTCGTATTTGGGGCCGTGTGCATGCGCAAAGATATTCTGAAGTTCTCTGGATAAGACAACATCAAAGTTACAATCTCTCCGCTTCAGTTCATTGAGAAACTGCTCCACGGCATATACAGCGTGCAAAAGCTGAAGTCCACCCATCGTGGTAGATCAGATAGTGTTCTTGAAGCGTTCCGACGAAAACCTACCATTGAAATCAACTCTCGCCTCAGTGAGGCAGTGCCGCATCAACGACTCTCCATGGTTCACGAAAAGCTCCTGACCAGCAAAATCCCCAACGATGTCAATTGTAAGAGGCTGCTGCTCCTGACACCATTTCTGGAGGACCTTTACGTCGTCCTCAAGATCCATGGCGATAAAGATGTTGGAGGTATTGTTTTGATAGACCAGTCCACAAAAGAAGGATGGGAACGACACAAGTGAGAAGATATTGGAGACCGAAATGAAAAGAAGAAGGGGGGGAGCGGCTTAGTAAAGTCGGAAGGAGGTATTTGCTTGCCAGTGATTGCCAGCTGGCGATTCACCAAAGTGCCACAGGCAGCAAGCACTGACAGGAATCAAACAGAAGGAGACCAACCAAATAACAAAAACATGGCAAATATCGTCGTTCGAAGAAACCATAGACTACCTACTAGGTAAGGTACCTTGCCTTGCTTACCTGGGCTACCAGGTACCTAAGTAGGTAGGGAGAAAAGCACAGCCTGAGTGGATTTTATTGCATCATATCGGGGAGCCAGCGATGTACCTAAGGTTGGTGGGTAAGGGCAATTGACAGACTTTTGGTCTCTTGAAGGGATATTTGCAGCTACATATCGCTAGCAAACAAATACTGTATCCAAAACACATGCAAGAAACCGAATGTGATGAAACTAAGTCAAATATATAGGCGCGGTTTGCACCAGAGTGGATAAGTCGTATGGCGTGGATATAACGATTCCGTGAATATCAACCTCACACATCCGGCATTCAATCCCTTCGGCCGCTCTTCAATATGTGCAAGCCTAAGCCTCGTACGAAGTCCACATCCCAATACTCCCATTTTAATCCGCCGTAACGCCACGCGCAATGCAAACTGAGCCCAACAACCTCGGGATATAATATCACACGCTTCGTGCCTGTCCATTAGAGGGTTCCGACCATCAGGCTCTCCAGCATACCTCCCGTCTGGCATGCTACCTGGGCTCTCTCCACCTCGACCCTAACTCGGCGGTGTAAAGTCCTGAAGCCCTCGTGCAGCTCTGCTGAACCACCCACGAACTCTGCGTAGAGCTCGAGAAGATGGAGGCCAACTTCCACGCAGACACTAACATATCGGGGATCGCATATGTGGCTGCAGACCCATTTCAAGATGGGCTGAACTGTGTGCTCGTCTCGAGACTCCAGGGCATCCTGGAGAGCGCTGCGGTGGCGGAGGGCCAGGAGGAGGGTAAGCACATTAAGGGGAGAATGCTCAGGTGAGTCCTTGTCGAGGACCTGGTCGAGGGCGCGCGCATATCGGGCATGTCGTAGATCGCTCTGCCATGAGCGCTCTTTTTTCTTATGCGTGCGAGGCTCATTTGCGATGATAACATCGGCCCCCTCGCCAACCATATCCAACTTCTTTGCAGCAGTAACTCTCCTCTTCCGCTTCTTGCGCTTGGCGTCATGGGCTTCAATAGTTCCAGAAACCAGAGCAGCCATTTCCTTCTCCCGTTCGGCTTCTCTGTTGGCCTCAGCTCCAGTGAGGCGGGTTCGCACGCTAAGAACACCAGACTGCATACCAACTGCTAGATGACGGTCGCTTGAATCGGCATCATCACTAGAGGGGATAACCTTGACAGACAGAACGGGAGACTGGTACTTGGTGCTCGAGACGACATTCCATCCGGTCGTTTCGAAGACTTTGACATGACCCTCAAGGCCCCCACTGACGAGTCGTCGACCATTGGACGCAAGGCTGAGAGAAGTGACCGTCTTTTGGTGGTTGGTAATCATGTGCAGAGGGCGCGCGGCAACAAGGTCGAGAACGCTGATCGATTCACCTGCAGCTGCAAGAACTGCGGTGCCAGTGGGCATAGACAGTACGTCTTCGACAGGCGCGGCATGCTTGAAAGTCATGACCGCGCTGTTGCTTCCTGTCCTGGGGTCCCAAAGCTTGACGGTCGAGTCGTAGCTTCCAGAGACAATCATGTTGGACATAGTGCCAGGCATGAAGTTGGCGCATCGAACGTAGTCTGAGTGACCAACAAATGTAGTAGTCGGGTCATTGCTTGGGAGATCCCAAAGTCGCACAGTCTTATCGTCGCTTGCGCTTAACAAAGTCGTCAACTCAGTCGGAGAGAACTTGGTTGTCCAGACTGGCTGCTTATGCTGCGTCCATGTCTTGAGGATCGCCCTAGAATTGACATCGAAGACCTGAATCTTTCCGGTATCATCACCAGCTGCCAGTACCCTTCCATCTTTCCTGATTTCACCACTACGTGCAACGTCGCCGAAGCGTGTAATAGTTTTTTGAAGCTTGCGCGTTCGATTCGAGTAGATCTGGATGCGTGTGCCTGTGGTGACTGCGAAGGAATCGTTATTGGCCGAGATGTGAACGACAGGATACGATGTGGGTGACGGAATCAGAAGCTGGTTCTTGAAGGTCTTCCAGTATCGTTGCTCCGCGGTGATCGGCGTAGGGCCTGAAGGCAGCTTAAGCTGTGGTAGAGGTCCCACCTGAGCTGCCATTGTTGTGTATCGCGATGACGGGCTTTCACAGTGGTGGTGTTTAGAATTCAGCTGCCTTGAGAGTCGCCATGGATTTTTTTTCAGAGCCTGATAAGATAAAGAATTCTGATGGCTGAGGACGTTTGGCGGAACATATTCTACACTAACCCTTTTAGGTTAATTTATCATACAGTGGTGCTCCACTGTAGGACCTGCAGTTCTCTCGACAATTATCCAATAAAAAAAACTTAGTATACATTGGATGGATACAATATTTTACATGGAACTTCCGCAATAGATCCATTATTAGATCCTTTGCCATGTCATCTCGTCTAGTTCACTTGTGCTTTTCTGGCTGAGGGCGAGCTTTGAATGGAATAAATCTAAGTAGATGGTATATATATATATGAATTGATTTCTAATTTTGAACAATTTTCTTCACCTTGATATGAATGCATAGAACTCCAGCATCACCTTACGCATCCTCCCAAGTCTTGCCTTATTCCAACGCCAAAATCATAACTACCGTGGATATAATATTATACATTTCCTCTAGGTCTCGTTACCTTCGTTGATTTAGTATCCTCCCCTACGTCGAGACCTGCCTGTCCCAATATCAATTCGCTGCATCTCCTGCACCAATGCTAACTCCTGTCCTGTGCCGTTGGCACCGCTCATCATGGGCAGAGGAATCTTAGCTGGAATGGGAGGGCCGCCATATGCACCCCGATTCTCGTCTTCAAAGTCCCATGTTTCTGCACGAGGTAGGCCGCGAAGCGAAGCATTTCCGTATGGAGCCCTCTCCTGGTAATTATCCTTAGAAATCGGAGCCAGTGGACTAGAGGCTGCTGGGGAGTTGCCAGCCGAAGTGCGGTTGGTGCGCTTCTGAAGACGGGTGCGACCGGCCTGTGGGGGTGTGCGTGGTTCATCAGAGAATGAATAAGATGGGTTGACGGCAGACATAGAATGGCGCCCACTACGAGGGGGCCTGCGAGTGCTTGGAGGCATTGGTTGTGCCCCTGACAGCGGAGGTCGCGAGCGTGTCTCAGTGGGAGTAGACTCCGGTTGCTTCTTCTCTGGTTCAGGGGCCCATGTCTCCATAGGAAGATGGTCAGAAGGATCAATCTCCCGTCCGTCGTATGTGATGATTTTCTTTGGCTCCTCGTCCATGAAATCCGGTGATGGGCTTGCTCCGTCTTTGGACGAAACAAGGCTGGGGTTCAATGCATCATACGAGTCTGGTCCGAAAGGAATATCCGACTTTCTCCTCTGATCTTCGAGCGGTGGCGCAGGACTGACCGATTTACGTTTGATTCTGTGCTGTGTATTGGGGCTTGTGCGTGGGTCGGGCGAGATGGCTCGAGGTTTTACAATTTGTTGCTCCGGCGGGTTGTATGTGATAGCCCGCCGGTTGTAAGGCTGAACAGCATAAGCATGCTCGGGTGGCGGCTGGTTATATTCTTGGAAGGACTCGTTCCTCGGGCGTCCTCGAGGAGGCGTGTGCATGCTGGACATGCTCTGGGAGTGCTGCCTTCGGTCATGTCGGCGGTCCTCATATATTAGATCAGTCAGTTCCTGAGACTGGTTTGCATCCAAGCCGGGTACCAGTGCTGCTGGGAGAGGAGGTGGGGCATAGTTGTGTGGGCTTTGCCTATGCGCGACAGTCATGTCAGTCGAGTGACCTTGGTAATGGCCTTGGCCATGCTGGGGATAATAGGAATTATCCCCAGTGTTTCTTGAATAGCCTCGGCCATGAGATGGTGACACTGTCACCTGCCAGTCCTCAGGGTTGTGGTAATCTTGAGGGGCGTGCGATGGCGAGTAATCGTCCCGGAATGGGGCCGGAGCAGGAACGGGAGATCGCCGCAGGACGAGAGGTGCAGGGCTGGGGTTGTCATCGAAGCAAAGCTCATCGGAACGCTGGAACTGTGAGCCATTTTGTGCAAAGTTCTGACCTGGTGGGCCTGAGGCTTCAGGAACATCCTCAACGGTAGGCTGCATAGATCTGTAATGAGGATCATAACTTGCGTCATAAGAGCTATGTCTCGGCAAGCTATCATAGCTGTTTGTGTTTGGCGAAGTGGATTGATTGGCGGCAGGGGCTGAATCATACGCCCGGAATGCCGGGCGCCCAGGGTAAGCCACCATTGACTGTCTCTGAGCTTCATGTCTCAAAACGTCATGTCTCATCTGTGGCATCTTGTTTGGTGACGTATCGAAGCTTCCTCTCGGCACAAGTTCCTGGCCTGTGCTGTTGTGTCTGCTCCTATGCGCGGGTGGTGGTGGAGGACGTTCATTCTCTACTGGCGAGTACTGCCTGGGATCATCCAATAATGGCGGAGGCTGCTGATAGGGGTCCTGTTGAGGAGAGTAATGGCCTCTAGGATCCATCTGATCTGGCTGAGGAGAGTATTGAACTCGAGGGTCCATCAGCTCTTGTTGTGGTGTGTACCTTGAGTTATACTCCCGCTCATCGTACTGCTGGTGAGCTCCCTCATAAGGAACCATCGACCTCCGCGACTGGCGGGGTGCCTCACGAGTTGGTGTTATATACTCCTGTTGTACAGGCCCATGTGGAGATGTGGGATATTGCTCTGTGTGACGGCGCGATGAGTGTGAGGGCGGTGTGTTGTACTCGACAGCTTGCAAAGGGGACTGTGTTGGGACAAAGCTTCCTGAGTGCGAGGCTTGTTTGCCGTGAGTTCGTACAGGTGTGCGGTGATCAGGACCAATAGGTGTTGCTGTAGGCGCCACTAAAGGTGCTGGCTGGGGGGCTGTTGTTGGAGCTGGAACAGGGGCTGGAGGAGTCACAGCTGGAGCCTCGCCAGTAACAGGATCGGACGGCAAAGGACGTCTCTTGACGGGCGTTCTTTGCTTGACAGATCCCTGGTCAGGTTCGACGGGTGCAATCTGCTTTGGTTTCGGTGCAGGCTTGTCTGGCTTTGGTCGAGTATCGTAGAAAGTGATTTCGACTCGAATCTCTCCAGCATATTTGCCTTTGCAAGTTAATGTCTGCCAAAAGTCATTCTGGCCGCCCCCAGGCACAATGATCCCTCTAAGGTCTATCCATGACTCTCCAATCAGGTCTGTCCGCTTATCGTCTGTGAAGATGGATAGCTTGAGTTGGTAGTAATCTGGGCAGTCATGAACTGTGAAACGAAGCTCTTGATCCCTATTGCATCGATTAGTCTCAACTTGTCTTCGATAAGCTCCCCGTATTCAAGATCTTACCATTTTGGTGTTTGTCCACCTCTGACATCGGTCGTTGTCTTTCTGGCTTCCTTTCCCAATCTGGCTGCGCAGTAAGGGTCCTGCTTCCCGATCGTCTTGCGATTCGGTAAGTTCTTGGCCCGATCGACGATAGCAACCAGGGTTCCAATCTCTGGGCCATCCACCGCAATGTCAGCGAAGATGCCGGCAGTGTGCGCCGCGCTCATAAGATTCTTGACCTTGGCTGCCATTACAGCTATACGCACCAGCGCCGGAGTGAGAAGGCAGTGGGAAGGTTAAAGAATGAGGTGGTTGCTAAATCCAGGCCGTAGGTTTGTTTACATGGACAATTGCTGCTGTGGACTAAAGATAGCTCGATTTGGGTAGCTCGAAAGTTGGGTTGATGTCGGGAACGATAAACAGACTAGCGCAAAGCAAAGACGACGTCTGGCAGAGAAATCGAATCGAACAAAGATAATGAAAAGACCAGCAAATGAAGAGTTGAGAAGGCGAAGGTAAAGTTTGAAACGGACCAGAAGGCGTTGACTGACAGTACCAGGCCAGGCTAGAAGGAATTCGAGTATGAGGTGGAATTAAGCTTTCGAATAGTGAACTTTCCGCTCCGGAGTGTTTGGGTTTGGTATGAAATTAGTCGAGTCAAGACTGGAAAACAAAACAGGCTGAGTAGTGCAGCTACAGCGATGACGGAATGATAGACAGAGAGCTGCTCGCGACCAGAAAGTGCACCAACCCGAATCGTTCTTGACAGTCTGAGCAGTCCAGAATAGTGTAGAGTAGCTGTGATGTTAGTAAATCCTTGGGGTTCAAGAGAGAGTGTGAGGGTAAGTGAAGGAGGAGGGTCTTCTCTCTCCGTGACAAATGAACAGGAACGCGATGAAGCAGGATATCAAGACGTTGTATACGTCTGGCTTGCGTGTGGTTGGGGGCCGAAAGCGGTAGTCCAGTGGGGCTCTGTGGAACAATTCAAGTGGAGCCTCTGACGGGAGGCTGGGCTTGGGCTGGAAACGGGGAGGCTGGTGCAACTGCTCCAGGGGACGAATCAACCCCTAAAGCCGCTTATTCGCCAAACACCTCTGGGGGAGTTACAGGGAATCTATGCCCAGATTAACAGGGGATTCTAAAGTTTTGGCCCGTCCAGGGGATTGGGTCCTTGGCAGTTGTTGATGGTAGGAATTGGATGCAGAGACGGTGAGGTCGCGTCATGATAGGGCAGAATCTACAGGTATCAATGCAATGCAATGCAGTCCATGTCGATGTCGATGTCTCTTCCGACCTCCCGCTCTCATCCGATTCAGGGGATCACGGATCATCCAGGGACGGAATGACTGAGGTGAAGTGGCTCCCGTCCCTTCGACAATTCAGGAACAGGCATAGAGACAGACAGACCCAATGTTTTCAACTGAATACATTACCTTACTCGCCTTGCCCTAAGAGAGACCATTCGAGCTGAACTCATGATCCCTCCAATAGCTGCACTGCCTTTCACTCATTCACCACACCACATTCCGGGAATACGTAGAAAATGGAAATGGTACGCGCGTGTTTGGCGAAGTCACGGTCACAGCCACACAGTTATTGCGTACATCCAATCCTCCAAATACATACTCCCTCGGACTCGCGATTGCCAAGCCGTACGCTGACGTTGACGTTCCCACTCACTCGATTCATCCCATACTCTTAACTTGGATTAACAGTGATCATGGATCTTTTTACATCCCTTGGTTGGTGCTCAGACAATGGTCATTACGGCCTTGGCTAGTTGGTTTTTACTACCAAGTTCGCTTGCCGTATCGATTCTGCAAATCGAGCAATCCCTTGATCAGGCAAATAAGAACCAACCTTCGGACCTTATTAAAGCATGATCGTGCGCACCAGAGGCCCATCTAGACTACGGACCCAAGGGCAAACCGCTGAGGCGCCCTTAAACCCTAAAGCAGAACTGGGATAATGGGCTGGACGTTGAAAGACCCCTGCTCCTCACGAGCATGTCACTCATCATTAGTTGGCTCTTATTGTTGAAATAATGGTCCTCAACCTCTTCGAGTCTAATTGGAACAACGTCCCTGGCGAGATCGGCTCTACCGATTCGATGACCCACTGACTGATGCCACTATCCTGTTCCTTGGCTGGCTGAATTTGCTAGAAACAACTCATTTCAGCTTTTCATTATCATGATACCGGATCGGGTTTGATGTCACAGAATGTTTGCGGCGGTCAAGGTACCCTGTTGCCATGGGAGATAACAACATAGTATCACGCCCCTCAATTGTCTAGAGTAGGAATTCCTGAACTACTAAATCCATCACTCCGATTACGCCGATAGCAGCATGCCCATGTTTCACGCAAAAGGCCTATGTCATGCCGTAGCGCTCCAAGCTTGTGTGTTTCACACCATCTCCGTTTCTGATATAAGTGGGTAAGAAACAGAATTGAGTCAACGACAGACGTGCAGTATTGTTCGACGTCAACAACACCCAATAATTATCAGAACCTTAGCCTCGTCGAGATGATGACGGTCCAAACGCTACCTCTTCGGGCAAAGTCAACACAAACTCAATTCCAAACAGGGAGAAGAAACATCTACGAATACCTTCAGGGGAATGCTGGCAGTCGTTGATGGTTATATCTTGTTGCTTTTGTATAATGTCACTACCAGTCACAGCTCTTGGCAAGGAGAGCCGCCAGTTGCTCAAGATGAGCCTTATCAACTTCGTCGAAACCGTTCAGCTCAGCACAGTCGATGTCGATGATAGCCACCAGCTTCTTCGAACCGTCGTCCTGAGCAACCACAATAGGCACGACGATCTCACTCTTGCTATCTCCATCACAAGCAATATGTCCCGGAAACTCCTCCACGTCTCGGACTAGCTGTGTCTCTTGGGTTGCTGCCGCTGCTCCACAAACACCTTTGCCGAACTTGATGGTTTGGCAGGCAACCTTGCCCTGGAAGGGGCCTAGAATGAGCTGTGGGCCTTGAGATGATTTGTCAAGGACGTAAAAGCCTGTAATTGAACACAACATGTCGTCGTTACTGCTTGTGTTCTGAGACCAGGGGTTTGTAACATACCAGCCCAGTTCACATCTTTGCTCGGTGATTCCAGAGATTTATATGCGTGCCACAATAGGGAAGCAGCATTTGAAAGATTGCTGTTGAACTGTTAACCATAGCTTGAACCAGCGAGCTCTCAATCCCATACCAGACCTATTACAAACATGAATTAGAAGGTAAGTCCAGTAGTTTCAGCACCCGTGATTGTTTAACAAACCCAGTTACGCTGGTCAGTGATCAGGCCCTCAGCCTGCCAGAGCACTTGCTCATAAGCTTCCTCCTTTGTGACGCCCTCGGCAAAGTTTGATGCATCAGCATGAACCTGCAAGAGCAAAGTCAGTTTATGATGGGTCCATGCTCGACAATAACAACTTGAGAGTGAACACACCATCTTGCCTGTCTTGGAATATTCGAACAACTTTTTTTCCCCGCGGGATACTAGGGATCAATGCAGCGTTCGGAAATTCGATAATATAGACGAATATGTTCTAGAAGAAATTTCGAAGTTGATAATCGGAAACGTGGTGGAGTTGACGGGCTTGATCACCAGGATGAATTTGATACTCCCCGCAAAAATGTGCGTATCATTTTAGCGGCTTTGATGCTAGCAATTTAACCAACAAAACTTCAGCTTAATAATAAGCCCCAAATGTCACCTATTACTACTAACGTTTGATGCGTTCTACAGGTTAATGTATTAGTTCCAGGTTGATGATTTTCTAGCCATAAACTTGATGGCCAAAAGACCCGCGATAGGGTTATACATCGAATATGGGGCACAACGCCAGCTGAAAGACATCGAACAAGCTCACCATGATGTTCTATTAGATCTGGTTGGCGAAAATTAGGGCCCGACTGGCCCAGTAGTCAGGTACCAAGAGGCTGGTTGAAGGTGAAGCTGTCGTTACAGTTACAATAATTAGGCATTGCGGTGGCTGGTTAGAAACCTCCGATAATGCAAGGCGGTTGCCGATCCATTATCTTGTAGGCTCTGATGGCTCCCTTCAGCTTTCTCGAGGCTGGACTCAGGCCGGGCTTGCCAAGGAAATCGGATGATTTTCCTTATCCTGGGAAAATCACTCCATCTTCATACTGTTAGACATCCTCTTCAGGGTAATCCAGTCGTTGAGCCAGGGAAGATGACCCAAAAGTGAAGCCATAAGTATAAAGCGTGTAACGGAAAGTCAAGAAAGAGGAATAATTTTATTACTTGCAGTGCGTGGAAAATTATGTTATCGTTGAAGGTATATGGTTGTCTGTGAATTGAAGTTGACACAAGCTGCACTCATGGTACAAAGAGATACAATTATGCAGACAACAAATAATAACAAAGGACAGCAGAGCCAAATGAAGTTGATCCAATACCAAAACAAAATTGTTATTCCCGACTAAGTTTTAACCAATGACAAGCTACTATGTACAAGCAGATGTTATCTTTTATCATGATGGTTCCTGAAAATCGATCGGGCCCAATGGAAGGTAAGCCAGATTCGCCAACGTCAACTAACAGCCTGGCCAATGACGCAGTGCATTTTGGAATTTCCAACTCTTGGCCATCAGGGCCCATCCCCAACATAGACTTATCTCAACCATGAACTCCTTGACCATGAGCATTCGAGCGCCATGGCGACTCTGTCACCGCAGTCAGAATATACGCCATTGGCCCCTCTTGGCGACCACCCCCTTTGCACAGTCGCCAGCTGTGCTACGAATATCATCACGTTCCATCCACAATGACGGTCCAAAACGCTTGAATCCGCTGGTCAACCCCCCCGATGTCACGCGACCACCACCGCTGACGCTGCCTCGACGCAGAGATTTTGAATCGTCGATAAAATACTACTTCGAGCTAGGAAAGGGATACCTAAAATTCTACAAGGGGGGCATAAAAAACGTCTGGACGAGCCGACGTCTCCTTCGCGAGAAGCTTCAACGAACTCCAGCCGATGACCGACCCTCGATATTTCGACCACACTATGTCCCGAAGACGTTTTCCAGAGCAGATTGGGTTCTTCTCTGGAGAGTACGACATGATATGATCAGACTTCCTCTGTTCGGGCTTATGTTGATTGTCATTGGGGAATTTACTGTCCTGGTTGTTGCCTACGTCGACAGTGTAGTGCCGTACCCTTGCAGGATACCGACGCAGATATTCACGGCGCTCGAAAAGGCTGAGCAACGTCGCAAGGCTGCTTTCGATGAGTTGGAAGCGAAACATCCCCATGGTGTCCTTAGCCCGCGCGTCACCCAGGCAGTCGCTCGGTCTCACGTCCTCAAGAGCTTGCATCTGAGCGGTGCAATCTGGGATCGCTTAGGTTTTCTCCCACCAGGCATGTGGCAGGCCAAGGGACGATACCGCATGGCGTATCTGGAAGGTGATGACAGAAATATTGTTGAGGATGGCGGACCCATGGGACTGCACTACGAGGAGTTAAGAATTGCATGCGCAGAACGAGGCATTGACACACTTGGGAAAAGCGAGACTGAGTTGAGGGGGTGGCTCGGCGACTGGCTACGTTTGACAGCCTCTGAGGATATCGACGAAAGGAGACGACGTATGGCAGTGTTGTTCCTAACTAGGTATGTGCATTGAGTATGCGAGCGTCTTATTTGACACAGCTAACACTGGAACCAGACCAGAGAATTGGCCTCAGCATAGAGATTTTGGTGTGCCTGAATGGCAGTTGTAAGATATTGCGTAGCACATATGAAGGGTTGGAACAATACAGAGGACAAAAGTGAGCAGTGAATTGGTGTTCACGCGTGTGAATATAAACTACTCAGTCACTCAAAAGTGAGTGACTGGTCCCAGCTATTTGGGAACGACTTGGTCTTAAACCCACTAACAGTATCTTGGCCATTGGGTAGCCAAGTCGATAGTCAAACACCTTTAGTCTATAATGGAAAAGGACTGCATCTGTAATATATGGATTTCGAGTTTCATTGTGAAAAGTATGCCATAAGCTGACCTTGTATTCCATCATGTCAGCTTCATGACCCACGTATTTGAGCCACAGATGGAGTCTAGGTTCCGAGTTGGTCGGTTGCAGTTAATAAATGGCTTGGAATTGGCAAAAAGCACGTGGTCACCTTCTGCCGATGACTGACTCGGCCATTGAGTGTCTGAGAGCTGCCCCGCGTGCAGTCTAAACCGATTGTGAAGCGTTTGTGGGGGAGAAAACATGTGGATGATCTCATGGCAGATCCGCCGAGGTTCACATCACATGCAATATCACTTAACGTTACAGCGCGCCCCCAGATTCTTTGAAACTTCAATCCATCCATGACTATCTGTCGCGTTTAAAAACCTCGGCCAATTCCCCCACGTTTTCCTCACTTTTCCTTCCTACCTGTCTATTGTTTTTGATACTGTAATCTCCTATAAATCTATCCAAACCTTGAATCGCAGCCATGTCTCTCAAGAACGGTACGTCAAGACAAGCCCACCCCATCAAGATCAGCGTTCTGGGAACACAAGCTGCTCTTTCTTCCCAGTTCCTCGCCTTGAAGACCATGTAAAACTGACCGCCAGCCACAGACAAGTTCCCCGCCTCAGCCGCTTTCGACGCCATCCAGGCGGCTATCAACGCCAGTGATGCCGATCGCAAGGATGCCATCAAGCAGGGCAACGGCGTCTACGCCTTCACCCTCAAGAACGCGAGCGGTGATGAGGCCAGCTGGCATATCGACCTCAAGGAAACCGGCAAGGTCGGAACTGGCACCGGCGCAAAGCCTGATGGTACGTCGCGACTCTGACGCGCTCCAGCGCATTCGGAACATACATGACTGACAAATATGCCTCCAGTTACACTCATTCTCTCCGAGGAGAACTTTGGCAAGCTCGTCGCTGGCAAGGCTAACGCTCAGCGTCTCTTCATGGGCGGTAAGCTCAAGATCAAGGGCAACGTTATGAAGGCGACCAAGCTTGATCCTGTGCTTAAGAAGGCTCAGGACAAGGCCAAGCTGTAGTTGAAGCGTGCTTTTCGGACGTCTGGGTAGCATTTTCATTGCTTTTTGTATGATATCAACTTGCTGGTCGCTAATCGCTCCATACTGCCTGGATGCGAATGTATAGAGGAGTATTTGCGTCAATGTCAATTTATCATTTTATACAGTGAGACAGCCTATATACATATATACTCATTTCTCTAGATGTGTCAGCGTTTAAGTTCTCTTTCCATGTATTATCCTAGACGAGACCAGCCGCTCTTTGAAGCTCGCGCCGAGCCTGTTCGCGTACTTCACGAACAATCTCTCCTGCAGGCTGGACCTTGTTGATAAGACCAACACCAGTTCCCCTACTCATGTTAGTGTAGTTACACATTTGCAAGGCATAGGCTACTCACGCCCAAGTATTGACAACGTAGCGAGCCTCCTCCTCTGAGTAATCCTCCTTGAGGCTTCGTTGACATTCTTCCAGGCTTGCTCCCGCGAAGAACTTCTCATGGATAGGGCCAACAATGGCACGTCCGTCGTAGAGAGGGCCCCAAAGAGGGCTGTTGACTATCCTGTCATTGAAAGTGGACCTAAAGCATGTAAACCATCAGCTCGTTCTCTAGGGCAAAGCGTAATCATACTTGAAAGTTGACACGCCACCATCTACAGCCTCAAGGACTTTCTGCTTCTGGATCTTAGGGTAGTTTGATTCAGGCGCAATAGTGAACTGCAAATTAGTCTATCAGTCAAACACGAGCCGACTAAGCTCTCACTTACTTTTGTTCCCATAACAACACCCTCAGCGCCTATATCTTATCAGTATGTCTTTGTAAATCATGGTGTGACTAATAATACTTACCCAGAGCCAATGCTCCAGCAACACCTCGTCCATCAGCAATACCTCCTGCAGCCACGATGCTTATTGCTCGGTCAGGAAACTCTCTATCCAGCATATTCCTAACTTCAGGTACCAAGCTCACAATGCCGGATCCTTGACGAAACTGGTGACCTCCAGCATCAACACCCTGAGTCACGAGCACATCCGCACCGTCTTGGACTGCCTCTCGCGCCGCAGCAACATTACCAACCTGGACGAACACAACGGGAGGATACTCCAGAGCCTTGAGGCCAGGGATAATCTTACTATGAGGCCGAAGGTCTCCATCTGGAGCAAATAACCATATTGCAGCGGGACGATTCTTAACTATAAGTGGCAGAGCCGTCTCCTCAAAGTAACTCAAAGAGCTATGACTGGTTATGAAGCTAGCTCCGACACGGAGTGGCCCATCAGAGGGCTGGTCGGCTCCGAGAAGTGCCCGGACTTCATCAAAGTGGTCAACAAGTCTGTTGATGTGCTCCGAGCTTGGCTCGATGTAGGCCAACGAGGGGAGGAATCCTGTTATTAAATGTCAGATCAGCTTAAAATGCTATGAGTCAGATATTATGGAGTGAGAATACCAAAGCCACCAGCTTTTGTCACCTCAGCCGCCATAAGAGGCGTAGCAATGCCGAGCATGGGCGCATTGCTGATGAGGGGGCTCTTAACCCAAGGGAAACGGTTGAGAAGCTGTGAAGAGCTCATTTTGGTAATCTGGTAGAATGCTGTAAGTCCGAGCTTGAAGGGAGTCGACGAGAATTGAGTTATATGTACATAGAGCGGTCTAGCTGCACCTCATCCTTCGCAGAGAACCAAAACGTAACCATAGCCAACGCTGATTTGTCATACGCCCGAATACAATTAACAGCCGGGAGTTCTATCAACCCGCGATGCTGTTTGATTTCTCCGCCGTTACGTACATAGATAGATTGATTCAATTGGGATAAAATCTTTTCTCATAAAACAGTATGTTCCGATTTCGGAGTACCACCATCACATTAGGTCGAGTTGCTTAAAACCGCTCCACAACCTCTGGTGGTTTGTTGTTGAGAATCGTATCAATCTCCTTCAAAATCTCTGGCGTCAGCTTTTTGACAACAGCCACAGCTTTGACATTCTCATACACCTGCTCAGGGTTGCTAGCGCCCGTTATAGCAGAACTGACATTCTTATTGCTGAGTACCCAGGCCAAAGCGAGTTGACTTTGTTTGAAACCAAGTCTTTCCGCAATAGGCTTCAGTTGGTTGACCTGCTCAATAATACTAGTCCAAGTATCTTTCCCTGTCTGCTTCCAGAAACCATTAACCCACTTGATCTCTTCGTTGGCAAAGCGAGAGTCATCAGGGATGCCGTCACTGTATTTTCCAGACAGGATACCTTGACGCATGGGTGAGAATACAGTCAGACCAAGGCCAACTTCACGATACAAGTGGGCATATTCCTGCTCGACCTTGACACGATCCAGCATGTTATAGGCAGGTTGCTCCATAATTGGGCCTATAAGACCCAGTTTATCGGCATATCGCCATGCCTGTGCGATCTCATCGGCATTCCACATCGAGGTTCCCCAGTAGAAAGCCTGTTAGCTAAGTCAGTCCTTATGATCCAGCCATCACAGATGAAATGGTCGCTTTTACCTTTCCTTGATCTATAATATGATTGAACGCACGAACGATCTCTTCCATAGGTGTTTGGCGATCAGGCCTGTGTGCGTAAATGAGGTCGACATACTCGAGATCCAAGCGCTTGAGAGCACCATTGATCCCCTCAACAATGTGCTTTCGTGAAAGTCCCTTATTGTTGACTGGGTTGTCTCCGAATGCTCCTCCCCAGTAGAGCTATAAGGAGTTTCTTAGTATCGTTATCCAAAAGTGCATCTAGAGCACAAGTATGGTCATTTACCTTGGTAGAGACTACCAGATCATTACGTTTCCAACCGAACTTCTTGATAGCCTCACCCATCGCGATCTCAGATTCACCGTTGGAGTATTCTTCGGCACAGTCAAAGAAGTTAACGCCGCAATCATAGGCGGCCTTCATGCATTGAAATGTACGTTCTGTAGAACCAATCAGTAACTGTCCCCTTGAGTCCGTCCTTTTGAACCGACCTTTATCAATATGGCCACCATATGTCAGCCATCCTCCGAGGGAGATTGCAGATACCTGAAGACCTGAGCAGCCCAGGAAACGGTACTCCATCTCAGGGACATCTTCTGGCTTAGACATTGTCGTGACTATGACTTGATGGTTAGGCTCTAGAGATAGTGCTGATTGCGGTATTCGGAGATGGTGCTGCAGTTTTCTGTGTCAGTGCAAGCTCATCTCGAATGTCTGGCGGGATTTAGAGCTCTTGTAATGTCATCAGTAATCAAGCTACAACCCTTTTAGGTAGACCGATACCGTCGACTGTCCTTCCTATTTCTGATAGCTGTCTGACGCGGGGTATCCTTCATAATGATTTCTTCAATTGCTAGGTGACAACAAATGTCACAGCCACAATAGGCACAGGTTTTCCTTAATGCTACCTAGACCACTGATGAATAACCACCTCCTCTAAACAATAGGTGTAGCTCCTAATATCATTGGACATCGCCATTGACTCAGGACAATCATACAGTACTAACTCCGGTTACCCTGTACCGCCAGACTAATTCTCGTCTAATAACCACCAAGATTGATGATAATAATAACAATAATGATAATAGACATGCTATGTATTGGTAGCTGAAAACTGACACATTTGGCTTGGATATTGTCATATAACGGAGTTTCTTGCATCCGAAAATATATGATCTAGAACCTGAGGCTAGACCAGATGTCGTTATGTGAAACCCTGCTCTTACACATCAAGTTAAAAGTTCCAACACGAAACTTCATATTCCGCATCTTATTTACTACTATCCCTTGGCGAATGCCCAGCAATAGGGAACGGAACGAATGCCATTGTGTGTAGATTGTATCATACATAATATCACCTTTCTTCATGGATTAACTCGGCAATGCTTCGAACCAAGTACAGTTGTGTCACACTCATGATGATGTTTTCCTTCGATACCTTAGCAATGATCAGTAAGACAAATAATCCACTTGATGGCCTACGAATGCCTCAAGTGCACCTAAGTGACCACAGAAGTCAGTCAAATGTTTCGGCTGGCAAGAATATGATCGAAATTGCAATTGGTCGATCTTAAGCTGGAAGTCAAAATGAGACTGTCTATCTAGCTTCTAATTGGACCAGTGCGAATTTATGCATGTTTTGTGAGCGCTAATTTGGCATCCATATTTCGGAGATTTCGCAGGGAAGAGGAAACCAAATCTCCGAACGACGAGTGACGCGCGCCTGTTCCCCAGAGAGAACAAGAGAATAAATCACTAGAAACAGGGAACATCACCAATGACGAGGTTCTGTAATTGCAAAACACAGGCTCTGCATTCTGCGCGGAATCCCAACGCTATACTTAGGACCTAGGTTGGCATCAAACTGTAAGGGCTTAAAAACGTTGTGACACTGACCATGCAACGGCTTGAGGAGGCGAACTCAGCTTCAAGCACGTAGCACTATGGTTTATATTACGGCCCGTAAGCTGGCAAAAGGGTCATGTTATGATGTAGCATGCCATCATTGCCAAGGTACGTAGCAAGAGGTTTAGTTGAAATCACATGCAAAGGCAACAAATAGAATATAGCCACTGCAGTTTCACGTAAAGCAGTGACTAGAACATAGTTCACTCGACTCAGCCGCCCAAAGAGCCGTTGAATGAGCTGGGTGTGGCGAAGATTTACGTGTGCAGCGATTGTGTGCTGGCAATTGTGGCGAGTATTGACTCGTAAGGAACCTGTGGTTACTGGCATTTACTACGTACGGATACAGATTACAACAAACAGATCGATAGCGCAGCAAGGGACACACGACACAGAAAACAAAGGGAGGTGGATGTTGAGATTCGAGTTGATGAGGATAGGGCATAAACAAGGGAAGAATTAGAGCCGCTTCTAGCGGGGACCCCTGGTCAAGATATCTCTCTTCCGGGCCAGTTGCTCTGTTGGGACCAGGGTAGCTTAGCAAACTTGCATTATGTGTTTTGCGACGAGTTATTGGATAATTTCAGGCTTAGACCTTGCCTGAGGTACATAGTAGGTCATCATATGATGGCAACGGGGACACAAGTTGCAATTGCCAAGAACAAGATTTCCCTGTAGAAAGAAAGAAAAAAACCACTTTATAGAGACTATTGCTTCGTATACGATAAATGAAGTGAAGCAAAATAAGACTGGAAATAAGGATTGGAATTTGGACCGGATGAATGGGCAACGGAACTATTCCACCATGAGCTAAGTGCCATGGGTCAGTCCTGTGATAGACGGGCGCTAGCAACGTCTGAACTCTTGGTGTGGCTTGTTCCATCCCGTCGTGGATGCATGCTTTTCTTGAAAATGTACACTAACAATACCCTTTGACAGGGAGAACGGTCGAATGAATCGCTAGACTGGACGGTAATAGCAAGAGAGAAGAATCTCAAACGAACGAACGACCCCGAAGCTTGAACCTTGATATCCACTAGGCACATAGTTGAGAATGTCGCATCTTGCGGTCAAGGGCATGAGAAGAAGCGCGGCATTTTGTTGATGCGATGCAACTAGGAGTCTTGTGTTGTGTTGTACATACACGAAATAGTGCCAAGCACACATGCACAAGCACATGTACTCCGTACATACACAAGGATGCACAAGCTCCCCATGTACAGGTCGTCGATCTGTTGCTATCTGACCATGCTCGAAATTGGACTTCGTCTATTGACCGGCTGCAGGGTCTTGGGTGACAAAGGCTAGAAGCAGTTTCTCGCCGACAAGAACCTTGAATCTCAACATCCAAACCCATGTCGATAGAATCACAGACTAGACGATGGACAGCCAATATTAAAGCAAGGTACCACGCAGTACCTGACGAGAGGCTGGGAAATTGCCTTCAGGCCAAGGTAGAGTTTTGTACCCCGGCTCTGCCGTTGGGGTATTCCGAGTACTCCACTGTCTAGCGGGCAGCGCCGAGTCAAGTCCATTCATTCATTCTTCTGTAAGAGCACAGACGGACGCCCGGAGCGGTAGGAGTTGTACGGACGAATATCGTGATGAGATCACATCGCAAGGCCTTTGTTATTGCCAAAGCGGACGTTGGACATAAATGATCTGGTGATCAGTCCGTAAGACATCTCTATCAAGGCCCCATTGAAGAACCTGCGTCTGAAGTGAAGAGGCATGAGCTTGAACAACTACTCACCGATAACCTGACGTCGACGGCTGTGCTTCAATCCCATTGGCATTGTGCAGGTGATATCTTCAAGGCGTCGCTGGCAATAAACTTTCTATGCCCTTTTGTCTTTTGACCCGCGACTCGAGGTAGGATTGGATGCGACTATCGTTCCTTTTTCATGCTTGGGAGCGAAACAATACCATTGACTCAAGGGAAGGGAACTAGAGCTGCAAGAGAGACTCACGCGAAGGGTTGAGAGAGACTCTAAACTCCAGTTGATTTAGACAATTCTTAAATCAAACCTTGCACAGTGTCCTCAGGGTCTGGGCACGATGATTTGGTACCTACTATTGAGGAGTTTGAAATCGACATTTACTCCATGATCCATGAGTTTTGTATGGGCTGGAGAGGATGCTCACAGTGCTGAACCTTGAGCCTTAAACAACGGACACTCCTTACCTACTGAATCCGGTTGGTCTTGGTCTGGCCCAGACCCTCTGGAAGTCGGGGCTGGCAGCCCAAATTGATAGTCGACTCCTGGTTGGCGTATGCTTTCAGGCCCCTTCGCTTGTTTCTGTAGCGCTTCTATGCCTGTGGCTGGGGGGCCGGGGGTTCCCTAGCAGTGGAGTTGTCGCTGATTTCTTTGAGGTGAGGTGCCTGGGCTAGCCTGGCCTGGCGTTGGATTGGATGGCCTGGGCTTCTCGTTGGCTCAGGTCAGGTCAGGTCCGCGCTTGGGGCCGGGGGCAGGTGCTTCTACTCTCTCCCGTCCCAGTCCCATCTCTTGCTTCTCTTTCCCCTTTCCCAAACTTGATCTCCCCATCAACGTTACCGACGTCGTCTTCGATCTCTCTTGGGGCTTTCCCCTTCGACCGCCTTTCCTTTCGACTCGAATCGATCGCCTATGAGTTGCCTGATTCTATTCTTTTTTGGCATCTCTTCTGTTAATTGAGGTGAGTCAATTTGATTTTGACTTCGATTTACTGGAGGTGGTCTGTTCAGCGTTGTTGCGGTCCCTCCGACAAAGAGGCAGCTCCCGAGCCGTGGATATCGGGTTGGTTCCAGCGACTTGTTGTGCGTAGCACTTTGCCAATTCTTTCTGGCCAAACCGCTGCATTCAAACTCTATCAGCCACTACAAGAGTATGGAACGCTTGAACGATGTGTCGCATCCTTTCATATACATTGCGTCTAAAAGGATCTTCTCGGTATCGCCTTTGGGGAGTTCTACTGCGGCTGGCGGCTGGGGCCTTGGACTGGAAGTGTCTATTTTACCGCGCCTCCAATCAACATCCCAGTACCTTGCCAACAAGACAGCCCAACTTGGTCAATTCATCGCCTCATCCTTCAGTCGTCCAACCGCGAGCAGCGCCACAGCTTCCGTTTCTCTTACTTCTACTCCTTACACTCTCGTGCATGCTGCACCGCCATCATCAGTTTCATCAAAACTAACTGCTGCCTCGCGCATCTTCCTCGTAGGCATCGATTTATTTGCACCAGTTTCCACACCGAGCACGAGTTACGCCCTGACCCCGACGACCGAGCCTCCTGCACCTGTTTCGATATATTGCAACGGTGGTCCTCTGACCGCCTTCGCCGCCTAAATGGCTTCGTCATCATCCAACGTTGTCGGTGTTCATTACCGAGTTGGCAAGAAGATTGGAGAGGGATCTTTTGGTGTTATTTTTGAGGGCACCAATTTACTCAACAATCAACAAGTTGCTATCAAGTTTGTTAGTACAACAATACCCCGGCGTTTCTACGCTGCCATAGTGTTGGCATCGCTGACATTGCAATAGGAACCTCGCAAGAGTGATGCTCCTCAACTGCGAGATGAGTACCGGACATACAAGATCCTTGTGGGCTGCCGTGAGAGACCCGTTTCCAGACAATGCAGTTCGTATGTGCTAATACAGATTCAGCTGGTATTCCCAATGTTTACTACTTCGGTCAGGAGGGGCTCCACAACATTCTCGTGATCGACTTGCTTGGTCCTTCCTTGGAGGATCTTTTTGATCATTGTGGTCGAAGATTCTCCATTAAGACGGTTGTCATGGTTGCCAAGCAAATGCTTTCGAGGGTTCAGACCATCCACGAGAAGAATCTCATTTACCGCGACATTAAGCCCGACAACTTCCTCATTGGCCGCCCTGGCACCAAAGCCTCAAGCGTGATCCATGTTGTGGACTTCGGCATGGCCAAGCAGTACCGTGACCCGAAGACAAAGCAACATATCCCATACCGCGAGCGAAAGTCCCTTTCTGGAACTGCACGATACATGAGTATCAACACCCATCTGGGCCGTGAGCAGTCCCGCCGAGACGATCTCGAAGCTCTTGGCCACGTTTTCTTATACTTCCTTCGAGGTGGTCTCCCTTGGCAGGGATTGAAGGCGGCCACCAACAAGCAGAAATATGAGAAGATTGGCGAGAAGAAGCAGACAACTGCTATCAAGGATCTCTGCGAGGGTTTCCCCGAGGAATTCTCCAAGTATCTGACGTATGTCCGAAATTTGGGCTTCGAGGATACCCCTGACTACGACTACCTCCGGGAGCTCTTCACACAAGCTCTCAAGAACACTGGCGAGGTTGAGGATGGCGAGTATGACTGGATGAAGATTTCTAAGGATTCGGGAAAGGGATGGGATTCGAAGAACCACAGCGGCGCGTACCTCCACAACCCCAACGTGCGGCCTGGGCCCTCCCAGATGGAGCTGCACAGCGGCCACCGTCCCGGGAATACCACCTCTCACCAACAAGCACAAAACCTTACTGTCGGCCGTTTAAACGCCGCGCAACCCCCTCCTCCGTCTCCGATCAAGCAGATGGGCAAGCAGAGAGATCGGCCAAGCGCCCCCGGCGCCTTGTCAGCGCAGAGGGGGAGCGGGGTTGGGGGTCTTCGGGACATGGCCACGCCCACTGGCTCGACCCAGGCTCAGTTCCAGAACAGTGCCCAGAACCTGCCTCAGCAGCCGAGGACGTCCCAGCAAGGCCAGGCGACTCAGCCCGCCCAGGCTAGCGGCCAACAGGCCAATCCCCAGCCCAGTGGTTTCCAGAAGTTGATGAAGACCCTATGCTGTGGTTAAGCGTCCTCTGATATACAGCTAAGAATTTTCTTTGTTTCTTCATTGCTGCGGCGTTGTGCATCAGGATCTGTATTATGACGACAGACTTCGGTTCAAGAGGGTTGCCCCATTTGTTCAGAAACGGGACGTGGTTGATGGTTGAAATGCCCAGCTGAAGCTCAGTCCAGTTTATAGTTGGATGAGACGGTGGATGCCTAGGCACAGTAGAGCTTATCTCGGCCGAGTTGGCTTGAGTTACAAACAAAGTCCAGGGCCTTTCGCCCATGCATCTTGGTCACCTTCAAAAGCTCACTGTTTTCGAACTCGATCCCCATCATCTCGGCATTATAGAACCTTTTGGCCGCCTACGGACCGTTCTTACCAGTCGATATACTTGCATGACACCCTTTGGAGCGGAAGCAGATCTCGTTTGGGACTACGGCAGAGGGCGCTCCTTTCTCTTGTCTGACAAACCATTACGAAATATACTAAAACCACGTTTAATCTTCAGCGCAGCGCAGCAAGGCGCAAGGAGACGGTGCAGGGCAGCATTTTTGGGTTTGTTTGGGTTGTTTCTTCTCTTTTTCTTATGACGCTGTCCATAATAACTTTGTGTAATCACCTCACGAGACGAAAGCTACCATCGGGGGGCCTGATGTCACCCAGTCTTGCCTGGTGTAGATGGAGAGAGCAGTTAGCGTGGGGATGAGTTTGAAGTTTACAAGCTTGGTGATTTGTTGTGAAACGAAGATAGAGCACAATAGGGAGTTCTCGTTTTTTTTTTTTTTTTCGGCAATTTTATAATGGGAAAAGAAAAAGGCGTCGCCATCTTTATCACAGTCGTCAGTTCCACCCGTTCGAGCATGCATTTAGGTAAAAGATTTAATAAACATCATCATGTATATGTAACATTACACGGCCATCGTCACTGAAAGATGAACTCCCCGCCGTAGCTTGACTGCCCAACGATCTCTTTTATCCTTTTCTGGTACGCAATCCATCAACACCCAACCCAATAAACGACATGTTGACTGTTCTTGGACTACCGAAGTCTAAGATTCAACTCGTAAACAAAAATTGCTCGAACAATCACTCTAGGTGAGCTTCTGCTTAATAAAGAATGATCGAAGATGCGAAAGCTGCCAGGTGCAGGTGATGCCAAGCACGATGAGCTGGATGATGATCCATCGAATGACACGGGCATTTGTCGACTCGGATTGATCTCGGAACTCGGCCTCTCGCTCCTGTGCCCATATCGTCAGTTTTCTGCTCTCATAGATACATGTTCACGGAGGCATCTTACACGCTGGAAGACTTGTTCTCTTCGGATATCAGCAAGACGAGCGTTGAGATCCTTGACACGTGATGTGATGTCCTGGATCTTTCCCTTATCGCTACTCTCGATTTGGTTGGTCTCGCCAATTACCAAGTCGAGAGTCAACTTGATGCCACCATTGGGGTTCTTGGCTGAGAGCCACGAGGTGCGGCCAGAGCTAGACGAAGGGGTGAAGCAGATCTTGTGGTCGCCAGCATCGGCGGCGGAGAAGGTAAAGCGGCCAGAGGCAGATCCGCGCTGAGAAACGACACGGTGATCGTTGTCGAAGATTTCCTATTAGTCATTAGTAAATGTTCGAAAGATAGTGCAATATGCTTGTGGACAGCTGTCCATAGAAAACATACATCGACGTTGATGTAGATGCTGATACCATCATGCTTTACCCAAGCTGATACTCGGTCATCCCACTCCTCAGCAGTGTAATGTCCAACGACAAGTGTATCCTTGGGCAGCTCCTCGTAGAAACATCTGGGGGTTGTGCCGTCGATGAAGAAGTGCAGCGCATTCGCAGCGGCGCTGAGTGACAGGAGAGGAAGCAGGAATCTCATGATGGCGACAGCTACTGCACTGATGTCCTTGGCGCAATTGGACGAATCGGTTTATTGTTGGAAAGGGTACGTTACGGAAGGTGTCGTTGATTAAAAAGCGAAGCGATGTCGTGACAAAGTCCAATGCTTAAAGGTATTGTAGCTGTCCCCCCTTTGGCTCTGGCTTCGACGTTGGCGCCCGCGAAGCTGCCACGTTCAAAGATCGGCTTTCGGCCAGGGGGGTTTAGCACTGTCACGTGCAGATAACGCAACCATCCCAGATTCTGATCCTGGGCAAAGGCGGCGCATCCTAATCCTCAGCAGTTACTCTGAATTCATTCAAACCAACCCCAAAATTTTGACGCGTCAACCAAACACCAGCGGTTCGAATTCAACAAAGAGGATCAATAAACGAGATACGAACCGATAAATTATTGTTAGAAGTGGATCACGTGGTTGGATTTGATGACCTTGGTGATGGAAGCTCGACTTTAACGGATTATTGGACCAGTTACACTTGTCATTTTTTCTTTTTAACAATTTATTTTCACGACATACTCCGAAAATGACCTCTTCCGACGTTCGCGATGTGCTAAACCTGGGTGATGGTGCATCAGGTCCCAGGCCGAGCAAGAAGCAAAAGATTGCTGCGCCAAGGCCAAACTTGAAGGGTTTGGCTCGTGAGGTACACAATCTCGGAGGCGACAACCCCATTGCTATTGTCCCTGAAGTCACACATTTCAAGAAGCGACGCTTTGCAAGTCGCAAACCTGCAGCGAGATGGGAGATGCGACCGTTCAAAAACTCGGCGCGTGGCGATTCGGATTTTACTTTGCGACACTGGAGGAGGAAGGATGAGAAGCAAGACGGCAGCGACCCATCGCCAGAACAGACGAGTCAAGGAGATCAGCCACAACGACCCAGAGACGAAATAGAGGATTCTGCGTTTGCAAAATACAACGTTCAGGTTTCAGTACCGCAGTATAGCGAGGGCCAGTATCAGCAGTCACTACAACACAATGACTGGACCAAGGAGGAGACGGATTACTTGCTCGAGTTGGCGCGTGGCTTTGACCTCCGATGGCCTCTGATCTGGGACCGCTACGAATGGAATCCTCCTGCGACAAACGGAGAGGCTGATGCCGACGGTGATGAGAGTAAGGCCATCGTGCCGGCGACACGGCCACGTTCTCTGGAAGATCTCAAAGCACGATACTATGAAGTTGCTTCTAAAATGATGGCAGCGCAAAAGCCTGTGCAGTACATGACACAGCCCGAATTTTCCCTTCATGAACTCATGGCGCATTTCAATCCACAGCAGGAGAAATTAAGAAAGGAGTTTGCGCTCAACGCCTTGACTCGGTCACGCGAAGAAGCTCGTGAAGAGGAATCGCTCTTGCTGGAAATTAAGCGTATTCTGGCACGCAGTGAGCGATTCAACGAAGAGCGTCGCGAGTTGTATAATCGTCTCGATTATCCTCGAGCGGACACTGACATCAATGCCTTCAAGTCTTCTGCTGGCTTGCAGAACCTTCTTCAAAACCTAATGACTGCTGACAAGTCCAAGAAGCGCAAATCGTTAATGCCTGGTGATGGTACCAGCCCTTCTGGCACCGCACCACCGCAAACAGCGGCTGCTGCGTCTGCCGCTGCGACTGCTGCCGCCGCTGCGCAAGAAGCCGGGAGACGGGAAAGCACAGCTGCGTCCACAGGGCCTCGTGATTCAACTGGACCTGTCGCTACACCGACAGCTTCGAACAACAAGAAGGGTCAGCCACAGCAACAACAGGAGCGCCGCAAGCTCTCGACACAGGAGGAGTTATTGTACGGTGTGACGCATCATGATCGATTGGGCTCTGGACCGACTTTCCGAACTGAGAGAATCAATAAGCTGTTCTCACACAAGTCTAATCAGCAACAGAATCGCATCACAAATGTTCTCAACGAACTGGACGTACCCAACAAGCTTGCCATGCCCACCGCGGCTACGACACATCAGTATGAGCAGCTCCTTGCGGCTGTCAATAGTCTGCTCGATGCCCGCAAGGTGTCGGACAAGCTCGATGCCGAGATCAAGGTTGAACAGGCCAAAAAAGCAGATCGGGAAAAGGCTATGGCTCCCCCTGAATCTGACTCTACAGTAGAAAAGGACAAAGCAGACCAGGACACAGGGACCGGCAACAACACAGAGGCAGGAACAGCTGCTGGAACGACCACTGAGAAAGCAGATGGCGACGTCACATCTGCACCTGGAGATACAAACAAGGATGCCTCGGAAACAGCAGCCCCTACTATTGAGGCCTCGGACGCCTCGAACAAAGAAACGGAACTGCTTAACGAAACTGACAAGAACGGGCGTCCTGGTAGCAGCGGTGCCGCGCACAAGAGAAGCGCGAGTGTTCTGAGTAGCGTCAGCGACAAGAGCAATAAAAGACAGAAGAAGTAGGACAATGTACAGGTATCCTCGAAGTACCACGGTACATAGCTATACGCGCCAGTGACTTGCTGCACGCGACATGCTGCAGCTAACGTTCCTGCAGGAACACAGGGATCTTTGCACCGACCCGATGGCTAGATCTGCCAGGACCGGCAGTTATTGGTTTGAGATATGTCATACCGTGGACAAGGGCTCTGGCGAGACAGGGTTGCACCTAATCTTGGATGTGTATCTGAGATGAGAGACGCCTAGAGGCCAGGACGTCATACAAACCATCCCTTCAACATATCTTTGCTGTACCGAAGCGCCGCCAGTGGAGCCAAGCTGTGTGACTGTTCAAGATATTGCATAACCCATAATCCAGACGTGCATCTCTTGAGAAAGAACCTAGGGTGTGGGCACATGGGCGTCTCGACCACGTGGGGCAGGAATGATATTGCATTTGCACCTTGTGTTTGCAAACAAGTGCTTATTCAAAGGACAGACTTGAAACGGCCAGGGATCTCTGCCATTAAAGTGTCCTGCGAGGGATGTAATGGGCGCTAGGAAGCATGATAAACGATAGGAATGAGGTTGTGTTGAAGAACATGCAGTTCATCGGCGGCTGCAGTGAGGCTGCATCCTAATTTAGCAACATGCTCCTATAATTATAACTCCATCTCCCTTGAAAGCGACCCGTGTTCCTGGTAAAAGATGACCCCTAGAGCAGGATATATGAACCACCAGGGCGTGTAGGCCATCCAATGCCTCGGGCCCGCATGACTTACATACAACGTGCTTGCTGTCGACCCTCGACTTGCCTAAACGGGCCCAGGAGCGCCAATCGAGTGGTTCAGATCAACTGAGATAGTGCTGCCGCTCCTCTGGAACCTGGTTCTTTGGCGCCGGAGACAGATAGATGATGATGGGGTGTGCCTCCTGAAAAGGAGAGTGTGCATGGTTCTAGATTACAGGAGCCTCATTGAACAGGGGCCAGCGCTTGTGAAAGATGAAGCCATCTCGAGCGAGACGCCCAGTGCTGTTCCTGCATAGCTGCATGTTGTGGTCGGCGTCTATGGTCCAAGAATAGAATCAACTCGTGGCATCCCAACATGCAAGAATGATGATCCGCATCAACATATCTGACCTAAGATTAGATTCACCCTTGTTAAGCGCCAAGATCTTGGTTATTCTGGAAAGCTGCGAGATGGGAAAATGCGACGCAAGGTCAGCGCTTAGCTGGCGGCTAGCTGTGGACGTATGAAGCATTATTGGATATCGAGCCCGCGAAGTCACCACAGAATCACTGGCAATATATTTTTAGATGAAACAAGTGTTATATAATTAGAAATGGAGCTGTTGGGATATATTATATGGTTCATGACATGCTTCGTGGTGTTGAGGCTCTTGATGTGACGTCTTCAGCATCCATCAACACAACATGTGATTGGCTGGAGTTTCGACTGGTGACTGCGAATTATGCCTGTTCCTCATGATGCAACCTGTCTTGGAAACAGGGTCTCCGATAAATACGGAAGACCCAGGGAATATGAACATAAACATATAGTTCAGAGGTATTATAGGGCTGATGTACGTGCATCCACAATCATGACGGCGCTCGTGCATCTCTGGATACCAAGTCGAGAAGAGACAAGAACACCGAACAACATCAACGTTAGTCCGAGAGTTCTCTCGGGGTGAGGGTGGCCTCGACATCTTACTGAATGTTGTCTCTTTTCTCTATGCTTTTCCAACAGGGATGAACTGATGCATTCAGATATGAGGCGAAAACAACAGTGTGTGCTATTCAGTGCGCCATCGACCAACTTCATGCATCTCACTTCATATGCGCCACCGCGGCGTGAAGCTGTGAAGGACAACTCAGAAGACAGTATTCGGTGCACGATAGTGGCAGAGTGGCAGATTTGGAGGCAAGGCATCATACGAAGATCACACCTCATGCAACAAATCCGTCGCTAACAAACCATTCAAGGCTATTCATAAACTTGGCAAGGCATTACATGAAGGTTTTTGGCTTCGCCTTGTTTGCCTTCCGGGATCTCATAGTATGTCGCTGATTGTTTGGAGCTTGGCTCCAACCTTGCACACAATCACGCCACGCTCGATCATGATAGTAACTTCAATGGCACATCTTTCCGCGGACGCCCGCGGCACTTTCGAGGATGTTTGTGTCACAAGAACAAAGCGCCCAAGAGCAACGGACATGGAGAAAAGAGGGATGTCTTGAAACCAACAGCCACAACAGCCAGGGTCAACTTTCCCCAAAGTTTGACCCGTAGTTCAGAAGTAATTTCTGGTTGATGGACCAGGATGTAACTCGGGAGTCAACTACACTTCACCAGCCTTCAGAAGCACAATCGCAACGAGAACAGCCCCTTCGCTCGCCATATCCCGTGCCTATTACATGAAAGTAGCGAGCATGCCGTATAACATGCAATGATCGCCTCCAATGCTATCTTTGCAGTAGCAGGTTGAGTATATTACCCGCAAGGGTAGTATTCGGACCCGCTGACGGAGTTATTTTCGCCATGCAATGCTTTTTTTGTCTTTTCGTGCTGATCAATCACTGGGCTTCCGCATGCCGAGATGCGGCTCGACTGTTACCGGCCTGCTCTGATCATGGATCAGCTTTGATGTGTTACCTCGAAACTGTTTCTCACCACAAGGAAAAATTTAGAATGCGACCTGGAGCAAACCCCTTGTTGATTGTCGGAGGTTTGACAAAACCTCTTGTCAATGGACGAAGTGAGCTGACACCACTGCCAGAATCAGCCCTCCGCTTCCCCGCGGTTTCGTTTTGAAAGCTGCAGCACTGCTGTTGTAAGGTCGCAACCAACGCGGCGGTGTGCCTGCGAGAAGATAAAGTGCAGCAATATAGACCTGGCTATTACCTGCTTGGCCATGGGTTTGGAGATAGAGGCGCTAAAATCCCATCATTCCTCTCTTAGGGCATTAGGTATCTGCTGTGACAATTTTAGTCACCACGGGCCAACCCCTTGTCTTCAATAATGAGCCAATCACAGGTAGGAGCCGGCTTGTTTCCATCACAAGTGTACAAGGAACAGCTGATAGCGTCCCTAGCCATAGGCGGCACAGGAGTCAAAACGCGCAGTGGGTGAGTTAGATGCTGCAGCTAGACTGAGGCGTGGCAAGCACTGATTTAGATTTGGCTCTAGACGAAATGTGATGCATGCAACGAAAGGTCAGGGAAGTGTCTAATACTTAGCATTGTTGGTCAATGATGTTCTGCTGGCGGAGAGCAACAAAGACAAGAATAGGAACATCGGCAATCGATGAGCCAATTAAATTCTTTGATTCTAGGGTGTCATGCCGTTCCATGACATGAAATGTGACCAGGCATTCGAAGTCAACTAACGGTACGCAGACGTGGAAATGTGACAGAGTCCAGGGCCCATGCTGGCTCACCAGCTTGAACTGAGGATGTTTCCAAAAATGGGCTGTTTCGTCGTCAATTCCGTCATGCTCCATATAGGGATGCATGTCGGTAGCCATTTTGCGCTTAAGATATTTTTGGTGCTGCTTCAGTTGGTTCGGTAGGAATCAAGTTGCGTGGCCGCGCATCTCTGACAAAATACGGGCGTGCAATATCCAGCTGAGCAACTCTCTTGTAGACACTCATGATGGACCCCAGTATCAAATAGGGCTATGAGTGTTGAATGAGGCCGCCGAACAAGGGTGATTTGAGCTAGACGCAGGACCAGCCTCAATTATGCCAGGAACGAGCTGGGATATGATACCGGCATATCCCATAACACGTACGTACGCTCGAGCTGTTATTGCGCGTCTCGGTAGATAGATTATAGGCTATAGCAAAGGGTCGGGACTCAGTAAGTTGTCAGGCTCGCGCATGTCATTCCCAAGGATCAATCGGCTCACACGGGCTGAGGCTATCTAAAAGTCTGCCGGTGAATTGAAGATTGGGCTCAGTCCTGGCACAGCCGCGGACGGCGGCGAGTGACCACGAGACAGGTCTTAGCGTGTTAGACGCGGCGTTAATGGTTCTGTCTCGCCTAAGGTGCCTGAACAGCCACGCCCTTGCAAATGCCCAGATCTGGTTCTTGAAAGAAGCTGTTGATTGGCTGCTGGGGCGAGGAGGCGCACAGTCCCGACACCACATCCGCCGACATGCGGTGGACGGTAGGACAAAGGTTTGTGGTTGGCTCAGGAGATACTGTTCGCTTTTCGAAGCCGGTGTTGTTCAAGAGTCCAGTGATGTGTGAGGCCCCTCGGATCTCTCGTCTGGCGACCGAGCCGGCAACAGGCCTTAAGAAGATAAGAGGGGACAAGCTAGCCCATGACAGGTTGATGAGACTGGAAAGACGAAGTCTAGCAATAGTTTCGAAGTCTGCAGTTGCTGGATTGAAGCTGAAGAATTGCCAGTTGAGGTTCAGTTAAAAGAGAAGTGGGGTAACATTCTGTGTGCCTGCCAGTGCCGCGGCAAGAGCGAACGGGGCGCCGATGTTCTCCACCCAGCCGTACCTCAGGGAAGGGGCCTGTTAGGTTAGGTTCATGTAGGCTAACTTCAAGAGTACTAGCGGTAATTCCCAGTTAGGTTGGCAGTTCGTCGTCGTTTTGAGACTGTACGAGAAAAGCAGGTGCCAGCTCCTCCGACCAATGCCTAAGATAATGCATAAGAAATTTGTATGTTGGCTTAGGCTGCCGTGGTTTAGCTATTACGACAGCGTTGTAGAAACAATTAGAAGAAAGAGATAAGATCACGCCAACCTGAACTATGCGGAACCTTTTTTTTATTATCCTTGAAGGAATATGTACTAATAAGAATGCTCGCACTCATCTTCAGGCACAATATGTGTCCTTAGGTAAGGTATCATATCTGCCTTCAGCATCAATTCTGCATATCATGGCCGTGTTTCTAAAATGATGTTTGCGATATGAATGTACCCCCTCGAATGGGTGGCTACGTTTTTAAATTCTTGACTTTTAGATAAAGAAGCCAGTTCGTGTTGTCCCAGAAGAGTACTCGAAGATATAGCAGTCCAAGGGACCAAACGGTCTCTTACGTTGAACTCGTCACGAAAGCGAGGTTACATCAGAAGAGAATAAATGAGACGCGCTAAATAACAGCTCTTGTGGCACGAAGGATTTAGGTAGACAGTCAGCATTTTTAGTCTGCTCGGTTAGGCTTGTTTGGAGAGTCGCGCGACTAGGTTGGCGTCAGTTACAGGATTACGGAGTACAGGAGGCCAACACGAAGTTTTATCTTGCATCCCTATCCCTCTCTGGTGTTGATCTCTTTGGAGGTATACAAGGGTCGCTTATTGGATCCGGGAGTATTACCCCAAGGGCGATCCTAGAGCGGGTACTGTACACGCTTGGGGTCGTTGCCGCGTAGGAGGTATCTGACTGGACTCCTGTTACCGAGTCGTGCGTATCCTTTTGAGGTGAGGTGAAGTGCTTCTGTCAGTGATCGGCCGGCAGCGGATGGCATTCCTTGTTTTGAACTCAAGGGCTAGGGTTTGGCGGCGGCGCCGACAGTGTTATGGGTGGTGATGATGATAATGGAGCGGGAAGAAAAGCTTGTGAAAGGCACATCGCGAGGTGGAGTGTCATGCCAAGAGGCGTAAATTTAGGTGATTGATGAGCAGTGGCAGTGGATGGATGCTCGCGGCACAGTTTTCTGAGTATTATCATTGTCGCGCGTGAGATAGACGAGATGACTCAGACAATTAAAACGACCAACAACTACCTTCCTACGTAATTACTAAATTATCCTATCCTGGAGGTAAATTCGGGAATAATTCTAAAAATGATTGATTCGAATTTCGAATGATTTGTAAGAGTCATCTTCCATTTGTGCCACAGGCTCCTGGCTCTATCTCGTCTAATGCGCTTAAACAAATCGGCATCGTTCGTATTTATGCTATTCTAGAGGTACCACATTGCAAAGTTCGCTTTTCAAAGCCGCCCAACCTGAAGAAAGACCGCGGCAGAGCAACACGCGGTGCGGTCCTTGATCCGCACCCGAGGGTGTCTGGCTAAACACACACCGAACTAAGCGTAGAGGAGCCCTTTAGCGGCCCTTGTCACTTCTCGACTCTAGACTCTGGGCGGTCGAGGGCGGCCCCGTCGTCACTCAGCCAGTCGCGCGGCCCATGGCGACAGTTGAAAAGCGCCCAGTGAAGTTTGAGGGCGCCAGAAGGATCAAGAATGCGAGAAAAGTGCAGGGCGAGAGTCGAGTTGATGATAAAGGAAATGAAGGGGGGCAGACTCTGAAGGGTGCTGAACGCTCTGCATACATGCAAGCGACACGCCAACGCAAGCGATAAAACCAGTTGCAATGAAGAATGGAACAGGATATGCAAATAGTTGATCGGAAGGTACGGTCGCATTTGGGGACGGAGAGATTCCGTGCTCAGGACCTTATGTTGGTTGATATGGATGGATGGCTTGATGGACAGACAGAGTATGGGCCTGTCTACTCCAGTGTAATAGCTGGAGATGTTTATCCAACATTTGGATCCATTGTAAAAACCCCATCTGGGCGAGTGAGATGTCAATTGATTTGCCAGGACGATCGTCCTCGACCGGGTAGTGACGTGATATGCCCGATCACAATTGGGGATAGCAATGCGTGTCGGGCTAAATTCGAGGTTGAGAATGAGAATGAGGTTGAGGTTGCTCAGACCCTTTGAGGTGAGCAGGGCCATACCTCCGCGACAGGCCAGGGTACGCACTTTACCGTACTCTGCAGTTCCGGCGCAGGTACCTTGGGGCTGTAAGTACTTGAGGTCTCATAGACGAGGTATCCGATGCCGACCGTACCTAGTAGGCGAGTGACGCCGTATGAAGCGCCACGCCGCCGCGACCTGGGTGAAGTGCTCTTGGGGTTGGAGACTCGAGCATACAAATGCATGGATGATTGGTGTTTTTATTTTATTTAAAAAGATTGGCTTTGTTGATAGATACGATTTGATGATATTTTGGTCAGACAGAGCAGTGCTGTCTGCCTCTCAGTTGCGTCTTGACATGCAAGTACATGATCTGAGCCCTACCATCCTCATCATGCTAGAGATCAGGTTAGCCGCATCGAAAGCAAACACACACTGGAACCAGCTCCGTCCACTCGTTCGGTAAAAGACTGACCAACTAATGAACGCGTGGATGGATGGATACTGTACATTACTTTAGCTTTTACTTCAAGTGGCTACCGGAATCTATCCTGCTATACGACCACCATCAAAGTCCATCAATCACCAGCAGCACGAGGCCACAAAGCACCAGGACCAGGACCAACACCAAAAGGCTAACAAAGCCTACTACTACCAACCGCGCGCCCCGGCTACTGTAACTTAGCTTGCCCTCCCACGTCTCCTCCACTCTCCTTCATGGGTCCATCTCCATGTCCAGGGGCCCCCCTGGCCCCAGTCTCTTGATTCTTCCACCCCCCTAATTAGTGAGGGTGAAGGTGTCAGGATTGGAGGTGTGAGATGTTGTGCTTTTTCTTCTTACAGCGAAAGTTCTGTTTCGAGTCTCAAGCTCCACAAGGCTCTTTCAAGTTACCTCACTTTACTTCACTTCACATAACCTCAATTCAACAGACGCGGCCTGTTCTGTTCTCGTCTGCTTTGGTGTTGAATTGATAGAAGTGGTTAACACGAGATGAAACAAATTTGCGCTTCTGGTGTTACTCGAATCTAAAGTGAACCTGTGTCTGTTTGTCCCTTGCTTATCTGGCCATGCTTCCAAGACTGTCAGTCACCGTTTACTGTCCCTGTCATTGCCGCCCTCTCTCTAGCTTGACTTGACTTGACATGACTTTGACTTGAGCCTGGCTTCTACTCTAGCTTTCGTCTCCTCGTGTTGCTGGCTCCTTTAACTCTAGAGACCCTGGACTTTCCCTCTCTCTATCATATCCTACCCGGGTTCCCACACCCTCACTCCATCTTGGATCTCATTCTAATCTCGATCCTTCTCTTCCTTTTCCTCTTCCTCTTCCTCTTCCCCCTTCGTCCTTCAGTCTTTTTGACTTTGACTCTTCCCCTCCCCTCCACCTAATTCCAAGGACCCCCCTCCCTCTCTCTCCCGTCCCGCCAGGCCAGCCCAGGCCTGACTGATCTGAACTCCCCGCCACGAACACCCCCAGCTAGTTTTTTTTTTTCGCCGATTACAGACGCTCTTCAAGTGTTAATCGCGCGTCAAAAACCTACCGACGCCCCAAGCGCCGGGAGTCTCGTCATTTCCAAACCTCAACCACCCAACTTTCCGCTACTCTACGGATACTCTTCGAGCAAATACGCTTTCAACCTCATCTTTTATCTGCGAGCGCGCATGTCGAAAAGGCTTTCAGGCCATTAACTCCGTTGATTCACGCTCTTTACGTTGGTTATAGTTGCCAAGTTCAATCTCGATCTCAATCCCAAATTAGAAAGAGAAATCAGTCTGGCTACTGTCTCATCTCGCCTTCTTTCCACGAGTACTGGATCAAATCACCTCATCCAAATTCACCTTCTTTAACTTCCAATCTCAGCGTCATTCAATCTCAATCTCAAATTACTTTCCGCCAAGAACGGCCTCAATTTTGGACGATAGAATTGTAGCGGCAAGGACTGACTGTTATTGATCGATTCACTTGTCTTGGTGGATATTCGACTGAGCCCGGTTTATCTGAACCTGCTGCTTTCTCCAAGGCCACTGCGCCACGCAGTTTGCTTCAACTGTCCTGATCTTAGCGACGCCATCATCATTAATCACCAGACACTTCAGTCAGTTACTCTGACGTATTGCTCAGCGAGCCTATCCCCCAGTCTCGCGGCTTTCACGGCCACCTGCGGAACGTCCGGAGCGACTTCAATTGCGCCTCATCTCCACGTTCTTGGGAAACCGCTCTGAGCTTGCAGGCTTATAGGCTTGGCTGTGCGGCCTATTGGCGCTTCTTACGACTCACTTGCTCCCTTGTGCTGTGCACCATCAGCGAGTCTGTCTATAATGTCAACTTTTACCGCCCTTAACGGGGGCTCACCCAGGACTACAGATCCGCCTACTGTGACCATCGAGAAGCCAGCCATGGATGAGCGCGCACATAGCACATCGACATCTCAGCCTCCACCTACACCAGAAGTTTCATCAAATCAAATTCCTAGCCAAAGTTCGGATCGACCACCGTTTCAATCACCCGGTTATCCTGATGTTGAAGGGTCTCACAAGCGAAAGCGGTCTGATTCTGTTGAACTTCGTCGTGAGCATGCACAGCATGCTCACACACCGGAATCCGCTCACCCTCATCACGAATCGCGAGAGCCTTATGGAACTCCCTCAAGAGACTACCGTCCTTATGGCGATGAGCACCGAGACAAGGAGTCTTGGTATTCTCACCAGGCACGCGATGAGCGAAGTTACGACTCACAGCAAAATTCGGCTACCACTCCTCATGGCCAAACAGAGGAGCAGATTGGTGATGCGCTTCGTAGGGCTACCGGTCAGATGGACCATGGTGACTACTCAAATGCCAGCCCAGAAGGCGATGACCATTCCATAATATATGGTGGTCAATACGCATCCGAGGAGAGGCGTGACGGGGTTTTGCAGCACGACCCAAAGAAGAGAAAGAGAAACTTCAGTAACAGAACCAAGACGGGCTGCCTGACCTGTCGGAAGCGCAAGAAGAAGTGCGATGAGCAGAAGCCCGAGTGTAAGTCCTTTTTAATAAGTCATTTGATCCACTACTGATAGAAAGTTAGGTGGAAATTGCCTTCGCGGAAGTTTTGTATGTGCAGGTTATCCACCTCAACGCGGGCCAGGATGGCAGAAGCCGGACAACAAGGCTCCAGCAGTTCCTCTTGAATCCAAGGACCCAACCTACATTCCCCCAGGAGCTTATGGGATGCCACAGCAAAGTCCTTACGGTAATCAACCTGTGAAGCGCGAATCCCTGCCACCTTATCGTGGCCAGGCTCTTCGCATAGACCCCCCACAAGGCCGCCCTTTGGTGACCGACGACGACCGGCCAACGGCATCAACATTGCCCAGCGCGTCTGTGACCAGTCCCGAAAACAAACTCTCTGCCCTTCCTTATACTCCTGCAAACGTATTCCCAACTCCAGTCAGCGCAAATCCTCAACCACCGCCACCCTTCGGAGAAAGAATGGCAAAGGAATACCAGCGTGTGCCTCCGCTGCACGATCTCAGCAGGACAGAGCCGGAGTCTGCCCATTTAGGGAACCAGCTTCCACAGATTAATATACTCCACCCGACGAGAACCAACAGTCCTGCTCCTCCTCCGCCGGCACCGACATCAAATGCACAAGTCGCTGCTCAGCTGGCTTTATCGCACTCACAGTTCCCCCAGAGACGAACTCAAAAAGAGGAGATGTTGTCAGGACGACATTACTATCCTTTCGACAAGGAGCTTTGCCTGGAGCGTGAGCGTTGCTCTGCGGCTTGCTGGAGGTTCAACAATCTCACCACTCCCCCTACTAACGGTGTATCGCCCGAAGAGCGGGCTCGCCTATTCCTCGAAATTCTGCAACCTCGTGATCCTGTTCGAGTTTCTCCCACAGAAGCTTCCCCAGTCACCAATGTTGGCCGGGTAGGCAGGCATGTCGCTGTCGAGACACCCTTCATTTGTGATTACGGTTATAACATCACCATTGGCCACCACGTTGTCATTGGACGTAACTGCACGATCAATGATGTATGCGAGGTCAAGATTGGCGACAACTGTGTTATTGGACCGAATGTCAGCATTTTTACGGCAGGACTTCCTATTGATCCCAAGAAACGCCAGGGTGGTCAAGGGCCTCAGATGGGCAAACCTATCACCATTGAGCAGGACTGCTGGATTGGCGGAGGTGCCATTATTCTTCCAGGAAGGACCATCGGCAAAGGCAGCACTGTTGGTGCCGGATCAATTGTCACCAAGGTAAGCTTACAAAGACAGGTCGATAAAAGAAGCCGACAGCTAACTCCATAGCAGGATGTTCCTCCTTTCACCATTGTAGCTGGAAACCCCGCAAGGGTCCTCCGGGGCATCGCTTCTTAATGCTTATTTTTGGCGTTGCCTTATTTTTCACCTTGAGTCACGATACCCCAGTGTATTCGCATGTGTAAAGATAGCACTGTTGATGGCCGCTCAGCCGTAAGGTTACAAAATGGTCAACGATATACGAATGGCGCGAAGCGTTACAAAAGCCTCAGCATTGCCTTTATTACCGATTTTTGTTTTCTTTCTCTGTCTTTTTGACTATACTGGACGGATTTGCTATTGGAGTGGGAGCTGAGTGCGGCAGGAAAAGCAAATTTTAATTGGAGGCGCCATGAGATTTAATATGCGGAAATACGGGCCGCTATGGGGAGGTAGAAAACCTCATGTGACGAGATGGAGTGACGGACGTGTTGATGAATTGGGATGGTGGTATTGTTTTTTGGGTTCGTGTTGCATGTGCTACGACTTATGAGAGATAAACAAGCCGGGTCGAGACCTGCAGGAAGATATCCAGCCATGTTATTGATTGTTAGCATTTTACAATTTTAAAAGCCTCTTGAGGTTTAATAATGTACTACATGTTCCCAATCGGTGTACTAGCCAATGTGAGCTATTAGGAGGATGCAATGAATCCTTCTTTTAATTATGGCTACAAGATGCGACCCGTTCCTCGGCCATTCGTGATGACAACAAATACGCATCCTGATCCGGCTCCTGTGCTTGCTTGGTTGCCATAGTAATTCAACGACGTTCGCGTCTGTCTGCGGCCGTGTATGCAGCCTCAGGATTGACCGATGGAAAACTTGTTGTTTGTTAGTGAGCACCGGGGAGTTGACGGCGTAGGTTTGCACCAAAACTAACCCAATCGAAGCCATCATTAGGGCCGAAGAAACTGTTCAATGGGAAGAATTCTTCACAATTGCTGGGGTAATTAAAATCTGCCATCGTGAAGTCTCGGATATCATTGCTTGAAGTTGACTCGCTGTAGGGGTATGCTGTGTTTATCATACCCATAGTCCCCACTCCAGATATTGTATTTGGCGTCTTGGTGTGATTTAGAATCGCTCGAATGACCTTTGCGCCGTGTCGTGCGTCTTTGGAGTGACTCGCGCGAGACTCCCATGTCCTGCAGGTGTGTTCCAGTATCTGCGTACGTTGTCTTCGGTCTTGTGGCCTACATCTGAATCAGTCGTGCTTAGAGAGATCGGGGGAGGAAAACATACATTATGTCGGTTGACTCGTGAAGGTCTAAACATAAAATCATAGACGCGACAAGAAAATCATGCAGAGTTAGGCTTGAGAGCAAGAAACGATCTTCATACATGCGGCCTCCTTCTTGAATTTCATGCTCAAACTCAAGATGAATCTCGATAATCCGAAGAGCGGCGGTGCGACAAAGTTCACGAGATGTTCTGTACTTTTCCTGATTCTTCTCGACAGTGAAGTAAGGCCGGTGGAGCACACATATTGTCTTTAGATATGACACTTCTATGATCAACCTGTGCATGGTGGTATAGGCCGGAATATTATATGGAGTGGTGGCAATGGGGCGAACGCGCAAACATTCAGGGACACTGTTGTGAAATACTTCCAACTCAGCTTGGAGAGCCATCGTTTCCTCGTAAGGCGGAGACTCGACTCGAAGAACGTGCCGGAGAACACGACGCAGTAAACGGCAGAGATGAGATTTTGTCTGCCATGCCAACATGGGAGTGGGATCTGTTGGAGGACGAGACTCAGGCACTTCCGAATCCTCGTCAAAGTCATCATCTGATAAATTTCGAGGATGCCCGGCGTCGCAAACTTCTTGATAAACCATGGGAGGCATACCAAGCTGAAAGGAGAAAAGCAGATCTGAAGTCTGCACAGTAAACCACGTCCGCCGTCTCATCTCAGCCTCAAATGGTTTGATGTTTGGTGACACTCTTGCTGCATCGAGGTGATAGCCTCTACGCTGAGCGAGCCGAACGGCGAGTGAATAGAGAGACCATATAGTAGCCTCTGAGTCCTTTCTCTTGGCGTTGACCGCATGAGCGTACAGTGTGAGCGCCTCGACAGAATACGGTCTAGCTTTGAGATACTCCCCCGTAACAAGACATTGAGCAGAACGTTGTATGTAGAAATCTGGCTCTTGAAGCAGTTCAACATGAGGTTGTTGAATTTTGCATACCATTGTACCGAGACTGAGAATAGAGAACATTATACTCAGCCATAAGAAGTTGGAATTCTGAGCGAAAGCCCAGAAAAGTTCATAACGCCGCCAAAAATGACGCTCGTGGATGAAGGGTACAGCTAGGAACTTGGCCTTGAAGTACGCGCCGACTAGAATATCAGCTTCTTGACGAGATGGGATGCTATTGAGGATTTCGTTCATCGTGATAGGGGAGATACCCCCCATTGCAATGTCTGGCGCAGGGGATAAAGTCTCGGGCTCGCCATGATGATCCGGCTCGTCTTGCGTACTGAGAACACTCTGAATATCATGGATACTCTTAAGCACAGCCTCCCAAGATGTTTCCCCGTGGTATGCAGCATCAGATCCCTCCTCAACTACCTGTGGAGAAGGCAAGTTTGTATCCTCTGTCATTGCAATGCTGGGATGAGCGCCTGAAGCTTCTGAAGCCTTGGCCAGACGCATCACGATCTCTTCCAGTTTGGCCATTTTGAGTTGCATCTCTTCCTTGTCCGCGAGTCCATTTGCATCTCCATATACACAAGATCTTGGATCGCCACGTTTGTGACAGGCACCACAAGAGGGCTTTTCACGGTCGCATTTCGACTTGCGTTTCTGACACGCCATACATGAGACAGGCTTTCGATTGCGTGTGACTTTGTGGTTGTCTGTTGCTCGGAAAACCCCAGTGAGATGCTTCATGTTAGAGTCGGGCATATTTGAAGATCCGGTCACCCAATAAGCTCTGATATATCTTTCAACAAGGTAGAATAGCTCCAACCGGGATGAGTCGATTCGAGTGCAGCAAAGAGTACTGGTAGTAATGTGAAGGAATTTAATTGATAGGTTGAAACAGTCTAAGAAATGCAGTGCTTCTATCAAAAGGTTTGAGATAAGACTCTCCAAATGAGACTGTCTTTCGGTGGCTCGTCTTGCCGTAATAGAATGTAGGTTGACTCTAAATCGGATTGGACGTTTGAGTCGAGCGGGGATAACCTCCACTAGAACAATGATCTCAATCAACGCCACACAGAGCCTGGACCTAACAGTAGTGAGGCTTATGATAGCTATGCTATACAAGATAGAAAAACAGTGAGTAACCCAAGAAAAGAAAACACCGAGTTGCGATTGGTAAACAAATGTTCGAGTAGCCCGAACTAAACGAGAGTAGAATGTATGGTAGATGAGATTAGGTCCTAGTCTAAGAGGCGTCATCTATCTAAAAATATCGTGTGTCAAAACACATTGCACAGATGCGCTTTTCCTATTTTCAAAGATTCAACTATGACGTGAATATGCGACTTCCAAGAACAACTGCCCATTCGCCTTCAAACACATAATCATCCCTGGTTTATCGTACAGCCAAAATTCCAGATATGACATGTAACCGTCATATAGTATGCCAATAGTAATACATGTAGTAATCGTCAATTCGCACCACCCTAAACTCCGCTATGCTATCGTGGTATGCAATCATTGAGAGTGGTGTTGCTCCAGCCTCTTTTTGTTTTCGTCAATAATCTTTTCCATCGTTTCAAGTGCCCGAGTCTGATCCTTCAGTCTCGAAAATGCCTTGAAGGTATATGCGTCAGGCTTGTATCCAGCCGCCTCAAGATCCTGGAGCGTGCCCACCGTCTGTGACAGATTCTGCATTGACGCATAGCCCTTCACGAGTGTATTCCAAGTCACATCGTTGGGCTCCAGGTTGTGCTCTCGCATGACCTGAAGCATTTGCTCCCCTAGCATTTTCTCTCCTCGCATCAAAAGACCATGTAAGAGGATACTGAATGTGAAAAGGCTTGGCGCTGGGTGAACCTGTATGCCATCAGGAGGCGACGCTGTTTCTTTACCCTCTTCCTGGGCCCTGGAAGTTAACGTGCCGCGAAGCATGTCACCGAAAACTTGTAACGCTGGACGAAGTAGAGACTTTCGCTCGAGCATGACCTGAATCAATGTGTCATGGACCACGCTCCTCTGGTCTTGGACAAGCTCTCGACCCCAGTTCTTTTCAGTTCCATGCTCCTCTAGACGGGATTTGAAGAAGGAGTAAAACGACATCAAATCATAAGGTCTGTAGAGGGTCTTGATGTATGCACGTAGCATGATAGCTAGAGTCTGCGCGTTGGGCTCCTGTCGGGGCGCACTGCGCTCGAAGAACTCATTTACAACTGGAACAATGGTGGTCCTAAACTCCCACTCTCTTCTAGGACCAGACCTGAATTTTTCAATACCATCCACATCTTCTTGGCTGAGAATCAGGGGTAAGGTGTCGGGCAGCAGCCATTGCAGAGGCTCTAGGTCGAATTTCTTGGCGTAGATGCGAAGCATTGACCCAAAGATGGGAACGGTCCATGGCGATGGGTACTGCCTTTCACGGCTCTCCATCTCTGCAAAGTAGAAGATAGAATGGAGTGTGTTGTTTAGTACATCAACGTATGGTGCTTTAGCCGCTCGAGCGACGTCGAGTGCAAGCTGTATATTAGATGCTTTAAGGCTGGCCTTTGCGCCTCTGAAAACAGTGGTGTAGCACCGTTTGTCCAGCTCAACGCCGTTCTCTGCGAGCAGCAGTGGAAGCCGAACTGCTTCTGTAATATCTCCCTGTAAACAGAGAGATTCGACCAGAGCTGTGAAATTGATCAAGTTGGGGGAGAAGCCACGTTCAAGAAAGTACTCAAGAGCCCGCTGAGGCGGAAAGCTCTCGTCAGATATGGACCACCCATTTGTCGCTTGTCTAGAAAGTAATAAAGTCGTAACAACGCTCGCAAACCCAGCCGAGTTTAGATCGTGGCCTTTATCTGAAATTTCGCGAAGAAGTTCAAAAGCCTTGGCTTTATACGTACTGTTACTCGCAAGCTTCCTCGCGAAGTGCAAAAGTGTATTTCGATGTAACTTGATGCCCGATCGTTGCAAAATTTGGAGCATCTCAACCGCTTGCTCAAGAGGCAAATTCTTTGCAAGATAGCCTAGGGTGGACTGGCGGAATGGAATGTGGCCAGAGGGAAGATCCTCAACGAGCTTTGCAAAAAGCTCAAGTACCTCGTCAGCCTTCGTAACACGATCTCGCATGATCTTAATGCTGTCCAATCTGAGGTTCAAAATGCAAAAATGAGCAACATCGAGAATTGCATAACCTTGAGGTAAGGGATCCAGCGTAGACTCGAGAACTTGGACGGCCTTTCCTGGACATAAATGCATAGTCGATAGCATTGCAGTTGGCCATATCTTCTTCCGAGATTCAATGTCCAGTTCATGCCAGGCCTTTCTCATGTCTGAAATACTCTCCAGCTCGTACAAGAATTTCCCGTGATTGAGCCAAGGCCATGATCTGGGCTTTACAGGGGCCGCAAGCAGTTCAATTCTTCGCTTCCAGATATTGAACTGCCGTCTTACGGCAATCAACTCATCTCCAGAGTACTGATGACGCAAATACCCCCATTGGTTGTATGCTTCTTGCCTCCTCTTTTTCTTGCTCTCTTTGATCTTGCGTTGCTCTGCGGTAGCCTTTCGAGTAAATTCCGGGGTTTTCCGAAGCCTATGCTGATGGGAGTTTTTGCTGCGAAGGCGTGACCTTCTTAATCCTAGCCCACGTTTATGACCATATGCCTTGTACTTATCCCGGTCCCGCTTGCGATCCCGTAGTGAGGAGGGAGTGTGAAAATCGTGCGTGGGTACGGCTGTCTGTGTCTCGGGAGAGTTCGGGGCTGCATTACGAGGACGCAGTTGTGATAATATTTGAGAGCCAGCATCTGAGACTGATGGCTGTGCTTCAAGATGGTATGGGCGAATAAATATTGAGCGACTTCTCGTAGTGTTGCATCGTAATGCGAGAAAAACAGCTCTTCGAGTCCATGCCTGCGGCGTCACAGGAAGCTCAAGCCTTGTACAGGCACGGAGTACAAGGGCCGCTGGCATATCCTCCGAATCGGCATCAACTTGAGGCCAATCGTCTGCATAGTGGTCGCTAGACGAGTTGCGAATTCGCCGTAGTCGCCGGTAAGAGCTGAATGTCGAAGTCACTAATTGCTCTTAATTGCGAAATTTTTCAAATTTATGCCGAAGTCGCTCATGGCGCCTCTATAATTTTAGCTCTTTTCAGCGCTTAAGGTACGCTGCATTAGGGGCTCATCCAGTGGCGACCCCTGTCGGAGTCTTTTCAGTGGCCGGGGCGCGCTTGATTTGAGTTGTAGCGGCTCTGCGCGCTGCGGGTGCAGATTGATGGATGGACGCGCTTAAGCATGTCCATCTTGAACTTCCACATATTTTGCACCCCGCCGACCTTGAAACTTCATAACATAAATATCATTTCAGGTTCACTCCAACTTCACACTCTTTAAGCGCCCGTATACCATTTCAAGACAACCTGCCACCATGTCTTCATCACACGCCATCCTCAGCGCTGCCTCAGACGACCGAAAAGCTAGGCTCGCCAAGCTCAAGAACCTCAAACGCAAGCAACCTGGCGACGAAATTGTTGCACCAGAATCAGAAAGAGCCCAGTCTCCTCCCACAGAGCCAGATGTCTCACGACTCCATGTCTCTGGCCGCAACTACGACCCTGAAACCAGAGGTCCGAAGCTTGGTTTCGAGCAAGACCCAACCCTCAATATTGACAAGCCAACACTTGAAGAACAAGCTGCCGAAGTGGAAGCAGAGGTCAAGCAAAAGGCTGCAGAAGAAGCCCAAGACGATAAAGGCGTCGATTTATTCAAACTACAACCGAAGAAGCCGAACTGGGATTTGAAAAGGGAACTTGATAGGAAAATGGAGGTTCTCAACGTTCGAACCGATAACGCCATTGCGCGCTTGGTCCGCGATCGTATCACGGGCGCACAAAAGGCCGCCGCAAAGAGAGATGCGGTTGAGGACGCTCAAGGCACTGGAGAAGCAACTGGCATGGATGGCCTGGCATTGGTAGAAGGCCTGAGGGTCAGGGAAAAGGAGGAGGAGGAGGAAGAGCGTCGCGAACGGGAAGAAGATGCTGCGCTAGGTGTATAAAAAGCAACGTCTAGCCTTTGGACGTTGAAGTTTTGCCTCGCCGTCCTGTTTATTACATTTTAGGGGTCTGGCGCATTTTGCGATTATGGTTACACTATATCTACATTTATACCCAACAATTCATTATCTTCCACCCTTCATAGCTTGTGTCATAGCTAATCGTTGACTGAAAGGACTCAGGCTTCGCTCTCGTGCTTGATCCCGAGGACCCGGGCCTTCGTGTCCATGTCTTCTGCCATCAACCCTTGCACGAGGTGGTGGTCTCTCACGATCATGTCGAGTACTGGATCGATCTGGCCTCTCATGATGTCTGCCTCTCGGTTCGGGCGACCTTGGGCTCCCAGGACGTTGATGGCGAAGGCTATGCGGACTCCGAGACTTCGAAGGGTATTCCCTAGGCTGCCTCGCTGGCGCGCTCTCCTTGACAGAAGGTAGAGGGTCTCGGGATCGGTACTGGTCGCGACGGTTAAAATCTTCAGGAAAGGGACTGCTGCCAGAGCCAGAACGCCTGTGCCGAGGTTCCACACGAGGGCTTCGGCTACGATTCAAGCTAGGACTACGGCTGCAGCTGCGACTGGGACTGCGACTGCCATCTCGCCTGCCACGTCGTGAGCTGTCTGAATAAGGACTTCGACCTCGTGGCGACTGAATAGGGGATCTAGTCCTGTCTCTACCAGGCGATGGTGATCGCGAAGCGCCAGTAGAAATGGTAGAAACCGAATGAGAAGACGCTGATCTATGACGCTTCACGTTTGGTTCAATCAGTCCATCGTCCTTCTGTTCTCGCTCGCGCTCGCGTTCAGCTTCCACTTTAGCCAGCTCTTCATCTGCCACACCTTTTCTGTAAGGCTGTTAGTAAATAAAAAGAGACTTGCTGCTCTTGACTAACTTTTTCTCAAGAGGATTCAGTGTCTCATTTGTGAGCTTGGGCACAAGCTTGGGGTTACGCAACTGCTGAGATCGCGACGGACGCGACACGTAGGGACGCTCTTGGGCAGTTGCTTTACATTCATATGAGTAGTGGCGTTCTGAGATGGTCAGTATAACTGCGGCATCATATCAAGATGAATACATATCTCTCTTTAAGCATTTCTGGCACTGGACGCTAGAAGGTGTTGACCGGGATGGGCCACCACGGCCTCTATTGGTAAACATCTGGAAATCGAAATGGTCTATGTGTTGTGATCAACTCCTCGAATTCTCGTGTATGAGTGTGTGAAGAAGATGGCGCTTTTGTAGGTATTTTTTATATCAACGGCAAAAAATTAATGCAATTGTTGAGCCGGGACTTGCTTGGATGACCTACTGGTAATATCGCCTCAATCACGTGACACATATTTGGCTAAGGAACTTGGGCTGTTGTGCCATAACTGTCGTCGAGAAGAGGATGAAGGCTTTCAAGCTGTGTTCTAGACATGGTTTGAGTGAGGTTCAGACATACAATACGTCACACATCCACCCTGATTTCTACATGTTGAGACACGAATGCTTTAAATCAAGCCATATCATAGAACCGAGTTTATTATAAACTGACGCACTACGCCGCGCCATTGATATATACAACAACGAGGTAGGGGAGCACGTCCAAATCTGGCTGCAACTGAGATGACGCCAAAACGAGATTCGGGGACGGATAGTGTATGCGTTAAAACCAACTTGAGGTTGAAATTGGAATCTTACATACTGGCTCGTGCGATTTCCTCTTGTTTCAACTACTTACATTTCCGGTTCATAGTAGTAGAAACGGCGCCTGAAGATTAGTGGTTTGGATCATATAATGATGAATCAAGAATCGTGAGTATCATTAGTGCCAGTTGACATTCAGCCTCTGTTGATCGTGCCTACACTATTAATTTTATAATGCGGTACGTCACATGAGACATTAAGCTCCGTTGTTGATGACTTCTCGAATACTGACCCGTATGGCTGGACCTTTTTCTCTGCTGTGCCTTCTGGACCACAGTAGCGCTCCACAATTTCAACACTACGGCCGATGTAAAGCTCAGGTTTGAGCATGCTATCGAGATCAGCCCAGATCGGCTTGACAAACTCGTCAGCTTTGATCCTGTTTATGAGGTCATTGGGTTTGCCTTCGAGCTTCACGACACGGGCAGCCTGATGCGATAAGACGCGGATCTGCTCATGGGCTTCCTGCCTGGAAACACCCTTGGCAACCAGTTTCATGATGATATTTTCGGTGCACATAAAGGCAGTTGCTCCTGGACACGCAAGGCAATCACCTGGGGATAAATGACCATGCCGTCAGTGACATTGTCCAGACTGCCGATGATAGCATCGGCGAGAAGGAACATCTCCGGCAAGTCAATTCGGCGAACAGCGCTGTCATCTAGTGAGCGCTCCATCCATTGTGCTGCGAGTGTGTTTGCAGTGGTTGCTTGCTTAGACACAAGCTCTCGGGCAAGGCTAGAGATCCTCTCTGAACGCATTGGGTTCCTCTTGAACGCCATAGCGCTTGATCCGACCTGCCCAGCTTCGAAAGGCTCTTCCGCTTCCTGCCACGAGGCGAGATGGCGGGTATCTCCGGCAATCTTTTGCGCTGTAGCACCAAGACCACAGATTGCGTTGGCGACAAGCAGGTCAACCTTGCGGGTGTATGTTTGGGTCGACACCTCATAACATGCAGGAAAGTCGGTCTTCTTGCACAAAAGTGCGTTGAGCTGGTCACACTTAGAACCATCGCCTCCAAAGATTTCGAGGGATGAAGCTTGAGTTCCTGTAGTTCCTTGTGCGCCTGATGCATCTGTTTCAGTCTCTTGCGGCCTGACGCACTATGCTTACAGTAACTTACCCCGTAGTAACAGCCCATTTCGAACTTGTTCAATACTCTCAAGGTCGAAAACAAGATCTTGAGCCCATTGAGCTGCTCGCTTGCCAACTAGACGCCCATTAGCGCTGTTTCAAGGATGTGTACTAAGTCCGACATAGAGCATTATGAGTAGGTACCTGTTATCAATTGAGCTAGCAAATGAAATTAGCGTCGGTTTCTATCAAACAGCTATGGAAAATACCTGGCTGCAAATGCGTGTATGCAAGCGTGGGTGTTGCTTTCCATTCCATGGCAAGCTTGCATAGATTTGAGATAACATTGGCTAGTCGTGGGAGTAGAAGGTCCAGGGCATTGCGCATGAGGATGAGTTCAGTATTATCAGTTACGAAGCAGCTTGTTGCCTGGTTTCACTCGTTAGTCCTATTCAACACGACGTGGATATTCATAGGGGATAGAAAAATGTGATTGAGTATTGCATTTCACTTCGAGATGTTGCTTCATCTGCTCGATGGCTTCTGTGGTGATGGTTTCGATGCCAAGCTCTTTCTCAGACTCAGCAAGTAGCAACCAAAGCCTGCGCCATTGTGAGTGGCGAGAGCGTTGGCTAAAGAGCCGTGCCATTTCTGGGCTGCAGTATCTCGCCGTTAAAGACGTCTGATAGGCATCGTATGGAGACTGCATGGCATTCGACTTATCAGTTGCCATTTTAACTTCATTTTGAGAATGTATTTCGTCAATTGATGGTCCCGGGGTATCATGAGAACGAACTGGATCCAGCATCTCAGGTAGGAAAAAAATAGCCCCGGAATAATAATGTCCCACGACAACAGTACGCCTTGATCGCTTCCCATAGCTTATATCTATCTCTTTAGGCGGCATAAAGCTCCGGCAGGGTCACGACAGGGGTATAGGACCTATCAAAATAAGCGCTACTTAAAGTATATTCTTATATACCTAAATTTATATATAATAGAAGTACTAGCAGTTAGCCGTATTATAAATAGCTATATTATATACTTTATAGCTATATATAATCTATACCCTTTATTTATTTCTTAATATTAGTTATAAATAACTTCCTTTTTCTTTCTTCCTTTTAAAGGGTTAGGCTTAACCCTACTAGAAGCCTTTATAAGCTAGGCAGCTTAAATATATACCCTAATAGATATAATTAATATCTCTTTATAGGTAAATTTACTATACTTCTATATCCTTAATATCTTCTTTTATTCCTATATAGCCTCTCTTCTTTATATAACTTTTAGTTATATATCTATTAAAAATAGCATTATAAATATACTCCTTCTAAGCTTTAAGTATATTATAAGGCTTCTAATAAGGCTATTATATTTTCTTTTATAAAATAAAGCTATTTATAAGTATAACTTTAAGGAAGAAAGACTAAAGTAATACTTATTAAGGATTATATTAAAATTAATATTAATATATTATATAAGATTATATTTAATTATTATAGTTAATATAATTTATTTTATTATTATATTAAGTAATAATAATAGAAATAAGGATTATCTTAAAGCTATTACTATTAAAGACCTGCTATAGGTATTATAACTCTGCCTTTATGCCTCTTTTAGTAGGCTTTTTTCTCTTTTTTAGTATATACTTATAAGGGGCTTTATTAAGTATAGTTAAAAGGAAGAGTATAATACTGCTATCTTTCTAAGTAATTTAAATAACTTAAGGAAAAAGAAAAAGAATAAATTAATAAAGGAAATATAAGTAAAGCTATCTATACTTATTTATCTTATATTAAGATTAAATATACCTTATTATATTATAAAGCTATATTATTAAGAGCTTTTTTAGTCTCTTTTATATACTTTATCTCGGTAATAATGCTATAGTTAAGGCATATTATGCCTATAGTATTATAGCTAAGCTGCTAAAGAAGGCAGAAAAGCTGCAGTAATAAAAAGAGGTTATTTATAAAGATATAATATATTTATATTAATAGCCTTTTTAATAAGTAAACTATAATACTTTATATATTATTAAAAGGAATTTTAGTTTATAGCTTTTCTTTCTTACTATATAGCATTAATATAGATAGCTTAATTATAATAGCCTTATATAGTAATGCCTTTATATATTAAAGCTATTATAAAAAAAAGCCTTATTAAGTAATAACTTAGACTTTAAACCCTATAAGTATAGGTTTATTTTTAATAACTATTATCTCTTTTAATCTACTTATAAAAGGGATTATATACTTATTTATAATAAGATTAATCCTTAAAGAATAAAGCTTAATAAATACCCTTTATATATAATTAAATTACTTTTTAGCTATTTAGAAGGTCTTTAAAAAGTTATTCTTATCCTTTATATTAAGCTTAATATAGTTAAAAGTATAAAAATACCTTATAATTAGCTTAAACTTCTATAATAATATAAACTTAATAATTAAGTAAAAAGGGCACTAATCTCCTAAGCTAGGGGACTTTTAATAATCTTTAATTAATATTTCCTTATAAATTCCTAAGTAAATAAGGACCTTAAGCTATATATAAGCTATTATAATAGAAATACCTTCTTACTTAAAAATATAAAACTATTTAAAAAGGGGGGTATTTTAGTTATTAATAATAATATTTTTAAGTAAGTAAGTAACCTAGCTATTAATATATTTAATTTATAATTATATAAAGGAAATAGATATAAAAAGCTAGAATAATTTAAGTAGTTTTTTAAGTAAAAGGTTAATCTTAAAATTATAATATTTTAGGTTAAAAGGTTAAAAATTATTACTATAGCCTTTTTTAGGCAGAAAAATAGGCATGCTAGTAGGGTTATTAGCTGCCCTTAAAGGCAAGGTATTAAAGCTATAATTATCTATATAATTAGGTATCTCTTAAGAGCTTATTATTTTAATTAAGATATATTAAGGTTAATTTATATAAGGATTTTAATGATTTTGGCTATATTAAATAAAGAAGCTATCTGATAAGAACTTTATATACCCTGCAGGTACTAGTGTTATTAGTAAGCAAGGTGGGGCAAGTGACCTGCTAGAGCCTTATGCCGCTTAAAGAGATAAGGTACCTAGTATAGGTCCTAGTGTTGTATACAGTTTTTCTCTCAGCACACGAAGTGATTGCTACTAACTTGAGAAACACTGGACTACAACAAAATCTTGACACAAGTCTTTAATGACAACTATAGCAATCAGGAAAAGGGCTAGAGGGTTGAGGTGAACAAAGGTGATACTTTACTCACTGACCAGGGGTGATCAAGGCTTGAGCAAGAATAACAGTGCTGACTTGGATACCACCTGGGCTTGGAGATAGGTCAGCCATGGAAGCTTCGTGGTAGACTTCTACCATGGAGATACCTTATATAAATTCCTAGGCTACCTAAAGTACTTAAATATGGATGCATCTATCGCGGGCTAGCTACCTTGTACAAGTGCCGTCCGTCCCACAGGTTCCCGGATTTTCTGCAACAACCTCCACTATAAAAAAAGCGATTCTTTCCTGTGACTGGTCCGCCTTTTCATCTCAGGGCGGGACGCATTCAATTTTAAGTGAATCTTTCAGCACCTCCCAGCGTGTCCTCTCACTGTGCCCTGCCGTGCCGCTCGCTTCACAGTGAAGTGGCAGCCCAGGGCAGGCGGGCAGACTGAGAATGGGACCCCGTCCTTGTGACAACCTCCTCCCACGGCTCCCCCTCCAAAACCTCAACTAACCAACTACATCCAATCCAACCCACCAGCATCATATCACATCGCATTGCTCGTCTTTGCTGCCTTGTGCGCCTTGGGCCGCCTTTTTCTAGAATTCGTCGTCGTCGATTCCCTGGTCTTTCACTTTTCCGTCCTTTCGCCTGGTTTGGGACCTGGGCGTTATAGGGACATTGCTTAACTTTCCTCTTAACCTCCATCCCCCGATTTCTGGCCCTGTCTCACTACGAAGAAGAGGCCGCACTTCAGTATCAGAGGTTGGGCAGCCAAGAAGGCGTACGACAACCATCATCTCTTCCTCCGAATAGAATCAGTTGGGGAACAATGCATCTTACTTTACGACGATGAGCACCGAGACTCTGTTTTCTTTCTGCTGGTCCGCTTCCATTAAATTCGCTTCCTGATTTTCCTGATACTGTCCTTTCTGTTCCTGCCATCACCGCTGCAGTCTCAGCCGCAGCCTCATCTCGTACCTGGTCAGCCGTTGCTCTCAGTCTCCTGTCTCATATTCTTATCGACTATTCTACCGCCTGCACTACTGGATCGGCCCCGTAGCCTTGATCACAGCCCATCATGGCCACTGCCCAAGTGTCTCCTGATCTTCCCAAACCCTCGTTTGCCAAGGTAAATGTCACACCGTGCTTGGCTCCTCTATAAGTGGTCCTTATCTGTCGGAGGAACCATTCTTTTTCGTTACCCGGTACTAATTCATGCTGCTCGACAGGTCGCCGCTTCCGTTTCCAAGGACTCCGCACCTCCAGCGATTCAACGGATTGCCACACCATCTAAAGAAGCAGCCATGAGCTCGACAACGTTACCATCCACATCTACCGCGCCCGTAATTGCAAATGGCCGATCTGGCAAGGCACCGGTCGCAAGGGTGCCCTCGCCGCAAACGGGATCAAATGCCAACCCAGCCGAACTTGGAAGCGGTGAAGACAGCCTCGTTGGATCTTTACAGGACTTGAGACTAAGGGACAAAGCCCCCAGCCTCGTCGTGAACGGTAGTGGGCCTTTGGCTCCCGAGAGGCCTACAGCCGTCGGTGGTAGAGACAGCGGATCCGACGATTCTCAACGAGCTGATTCTAGTTCCGAACTCGGAACCAAGCCCCCTAGTCTGGATGGAAAGAGCATTACTTCAGGCACAACATTTGCACTTGATGAGAAGGAATCGCTAAGGCCTGATGATAGCGCCAGTGTCAAGGCCGCTGCAGAAGATGACGATGCTTTCTCTATACGCGGCTCACTAGTTGCCGGATCTCGCATGGGCTCTGAGGTAGCCGCCCGAGCCCGAATGATTCACCTTGGCGATATTCCGGAGCGAAGGCTGCCACAACAAGTTCCAGGCGCCGCAGCTCAAGGAGTTCTGACTCCCCAGAGCTCATCATCTGAACAACCCCCTGGTGCGCCCCTGGGTGCCCCTGGCTCCTCAGATGCCCTTGGTGTCATCTATCGACAGGCGCCGGATGATAAACTTCTAGAAGCCATGGCATCGCCGAAGGACAGACTCTTTCTATTGCGGTTGGAGAAACAGGTCATTGATTTTGTGCAGGATTCCAAGTACGTCTATGACTTCACATTCTTTCACAACTTGTACTAATCATCCTTTTTCAGGGAGCCTTACATGGACCTTCCACCGTCCAACTCGTTCTGCAGGATGTTAACACATAAGCTGGCGGATTACTACCATATGACACATTCATTTGAGCCTCACGTGGGGTCTGTACGAATATTCAGGACACCATTTTGTCGAGTTCCCACCTCGCTGGCGCTCATCAACCCCAGTCCTAGCGCGCCAAACAGCAGCACTCCGCCTCCTGTTGTCCTCCCCAAGAAGATTATGCGACGCGGCCAAGATAGTGAAGGCGGCCCAAGTGCTAGCCCCTCTAAGCCAACTTCTGAGACGGGCAGTGATGCTAAAGATAAGCCCGCGACGAACCAGAAGTACGTTCAATTCCACAATGTGTTAGCAATTGCTCGGACTCACCATCTTTAGACTTAC